CTGTATCTGTAGTTGGGTATGAGAAAGTAAAGATGGCCTATTATCCTTTCAGTTTAATGGTATGTGAACATCTTTAGAACACAGCTGGAGAATGAATGTTCAACCAATCCAAATAATTGAAAGTCGTTTAGTAATTTTTGAATTTAGAATTGTTCTTGCAGGGTGCCTTGGCCTACAGTCACTTCAGTTAAATATACGTAGGGCAGTCAAAAAGTTCCCGGAATTCCCCTACAGACGGAGAACAAGCAATAAGATAGCATACACACAGTTGTGATGGGGAGCTCAGCATGTCTGCTCGCAGGCGCCACAGATCTGAACAGGTTTCAGTGTGCAGTGTCGTTACTGTACCGTTTTAATTAGATGTGAGTGTTGGTCATTCAGCGCAATGTTGCAGTTGGAACAGCGTGTGAACAAGTTCATGTGCAAATTGGGAAAATCTGCTTCAGAGACGCACTCAGCCCTGCAGTAAGTTTACGGTGATACTGCACTAAAGAAATCCGCAGTTTACGACTGGTTTTCCCACTTTAAAAATGGGCAGGAGACGTTAGAGGATGACCTACGCAGCGGAAGACCTTCGACATCCAGAACCGAAGAAATTGTTGGAAAAGTGCGACAAGTGATTTGATATGATCGAAGAATGACCATCGCAGAGTTGGAGCAAGAAGTTGGTATCTCACACAGATCCAATCATGCCATTTTGTCTGATGATTTGAAGATGAGACGCATCAGTGCGAAGTTTGTTCTGAGGCAGCTGACCACGGATCAGATGGAATGTCACATGATGGTCGCTGGTGATCTGTTTGACAAAAGTACGCAGGACCCAACATTTCTCAAAGATATCAACACTGGTGATGAGTCATTGGTGTTCGCCTGCGACCCGGAGACGAAGATGCAGTCATCGGAGTGGCACACAGCGTCATTTCCCCGTCCAAAAAAATCACGCCTCATCAGATCCAAAGACAAAGTGATGCTCATTGCATTCTTTGACATCAACAGTTTGGTGCGTCATGAGTTTGTACCGCCCAGACAGACTGTTACTGTTCTACATGCAAGTTTTGCAGAGGTTGTGCGATGCATTTTGGAGGAAGCGGTGCGACAAGTGGCAGCGACAGTGGTTTCTGCATCACGATAACACACCAAGCCACACGTCGCTTGTTGTGCAGCAATTCATCGCCGAGAAAAACATTCCTGTCATCACTCAACCACCGTACTCTCCGGATCTCGCTCCAAGTGACTTGGTTGTTCCCTACTCTGAAAATGGGCCTCAAGGGGACACATTTTGCAACCATGGAGGATATCAAATCGAATGCAATGGCTGAGCTCCAGAAGATTCCAAAAGAAGCCTTCCACCGCTGCTTCCAACAATGGCAGGATCGATGGAGCAAGTGTGTGTGCGCGCAAGGGTCCTACTTTGAAGGTGATTAGGTAAGCGTTGCCGTATGTCCTACCATTAGAGTGCTATACCACCATTCCAGGAACTTTTTGATTGTCCCTCATATTCAGATCCTGGGAAAAATAATTACCCATTGCTACCATAGTTTTTACTGTTAGATAGGTGGCTTAACAGAAATGTTACACAATTCAAAACTTGGTTGGAACACCAACTATTGAATCTGAAGTTCGTTTTTATAGCTTTCCTTAGTTCCTCTAGGTAAATGCCATGATGAGTAAAGGTATGGTCATTACTTCAGAGAGTGCTAATTAATCTGTAGTTGATTACATCACTGAATAATGTACCAACCATACTCTGTGTTTTGTTGGCTTTGTTATGTAGGTGATTATAGTATCAAGTTCCACAGCAGCTGGATCTCCTAGCATTTTACAGAGATCGTTGAGTGTTCCCATTGTAAAAACAGTGTCAGCCACTTGTTCATCCAACACATTAAGCCAGCAACCTCGAGGTACTTCCCTTATCATCAATAACCAGACTTCAACTACTATGGGAGCTCCTGCACATCCTGGTCCTGGTGGAGTTGGAAACATTGTGACTATATCCACAAATCCAAACAGTGGTGGCAATCTCACAGCAACAACAGGCAGGTTGTCCTTTGTCTTTGGTAGATGCAGTCTGATTTATCTGTGTTATATACCTGTCTTCATGAGAGCACAGTTGAGTTAAGTACTTTCTCTTAACTGTTCCATTGTGCAGACAGACACTTGACTTTCCTGGAAAGATTCTTGGCTTTACGTTGATACTTTCTTTACTAGGAGTTAATAAATATAGTGTGACCCTGTATTATGGATGGTCAAGTTACAGAATTTTGCCATTTTGGAAGTTATGAGACGGGAACCATAATTTGTGGTTACTGAAACTTTTTGGCTGAATATTAAAAATTTTTGAACACAAAATGTGCAGCAACATGTTCAATCCAAACTGTTTTTTAAGAAGCTGTTATTTGTTAAGAAATTCATATTACGTATACCTCTATGACATTATAGGATACGTACCTGGCTAGTCTGTGATCATGCATCGGCAATGTAGGGAATGGCTGGTAGCGTGGTTGCTATTCCCATCTTATTTTAGGTGATTAAAATGGCATGTCTTGATTATAACCATGAATCCTAACGATTTCTGTAGGGTTGTATCTCTGTGTATAACCTGGGAGTCACTGAAAAAATAGATTTGCCTTATGGAGTTTTATAATATGGACACATTTTCAAGAACATCCATTCTGTAACATGGGGATGTTGTGTAGTTTCACTTGTGTATGCAAATGTATATTCATTTCAGTCTTGTTAATAGTCCACGTGAAAAGGTGTACAATATTATATTTAAGCATCCTATTACACTCACACAATATATGAGACAAACTCCGTCTTAAGTGCAACAATTTAATTGTAGTTCTGTCTTCTTCCGTTCCTCTACACTACATGTTTCGGCCCTAAATGGCCATCATCAGGTGTATATTCTCACATAGCTGCTACACTGCCCGTAGTTTAAAATTTAAAAACACCAGTCTTTCCAATTGTATGTATGTATAAAATCTTTGTTAACCTACACACGTCAGTTTGATTTCTAAAATTGGCACTTTTTTAAATCTTCAGTTCAAATTAAAATGTCTTTAAATTTTCCGTTCTTTTTCTTTTCAAATTTTAAAAATTAAAATTTCTCGGAGTACTCGTCCTATGTCTATAGTGCTGCGATAAAACAAGAAGTGGCCGCTGCAGCACTATAGACATTTTGGGAGATGTTATGGGTGGTTATGACTGCAAAATGTGGTCTCTTGCTTTGAAGGAAGCACATAAATTAAGAGTGCTCGAGAATGGTGTGCTTAGTAAAATGTCTGTGTCTAGAGGGATACTATGAGAAGGGAACTGAAGATACTGCACAACAAGGAATTTTATGGTTTATACAAATTACTTAATGCTAATAGGGTAGTGATGGGAAGGAGATTACAGTGGGCAGGGTATTGTATCTAGGGCAGAGGAAATGAAAAATTCATACAGTATTGTATTTTGTAAAGATAACACCAAAACTGGTCTTATGGAAACAGGTTGTAAGGATGGGTGGCTGGAACTAATATTAGCAGTGTTGAACTCTTGGGTTCTGCTAACAGGGAATCAGGTATAGCACTCATTAAGATGTACTTTCATTTCAACTNCCTGAGGTTTGCCATAGTCCTTAACATATATTTTGTCATACAGCGTCCTCCATCACCTCTGAACTCAAACAAATAGTCCTTAGTTGGAAATGATATTCTTTGCAGATTCTGCTGACAGCGCTGTGAGGAACATCAACCCTTAATTAATAAAGACTATATTTCAGGAGGGGGCATGCAGTAACGTAGTTGGTTGAGGGGCTATGCTACAAGCCAGAAGATCGCGGGTTCAAGTCCCAATGAGGTCGTTGGATTTTTTCAATTGACCTAATCCTCCCAGCCACACTGTGGTCCTGGGGTTTACTCAGCCTCTAACAGAAATGAGTACCAGGAATTAAATAATTTTCCTGGGGAGTAAAGCACGGCCGACACGTAAGGCTGACAACCTTACCGCCATCTTTGAGCCGATTGTCTAGATAATGTGGGACCCTCAATGTCTCACAACCCTATGGGCCTTCACGACCTGGTACAAGGATAGCTTTGGTTTTTTTAGTTTAAATATTGCAAAGAACGTGACTGGAAAATATTTGAGTAGACCATTCTGCACCCATTTCTGTAGTGTGAGGTGGTATCATATTTTTGGACAGGATTGGTTTTAGAGGGTGTTTAAAAATTGTTTTCAGTTTCTATTGGTGGAATTCCAACAACTGCATACATCACATCTCCAGGTGGTGTTCCCAAGATCCGACCCAAATCTGTTCAGCTACCTGCCAAACCTCGGGCTCGTTCTGGCTCCATTGTAATCCCTATGACACCCAATCAGTTGGCAAGTGGGACTGCTGGAGCCACACAGACATTAACAAACCTTCCCAGTGTGCAGGGTGTGCAGCTGAAGACAGCTGTACATTCTTCAAAATCGAGCCTACACATTAAACAGGACTCCAGTAAGTTAAGACTTCTCAATTAATAACATAAATTTATGCCTGACATTCAAACTTGCGCAAGACATAAAGAGAAAATGTGTACAGTGAAATCTGCATTTCAGTGTTCTGGAGGAAGTTTCTGACCATTAAAGTGAGGAGAACCTTAAATGAGGAAACTGCCTTTGAAATAGTAATTTGTGATCATTGAAGATGAATATGAAATTGTGATGCCTTGACTTTATGTGCCTCTTTCAAAAGGCGTACTACACTTATGTCTCATTTTACAATGTTTGATTAACAAATGTGATAACATTTTCAGTATACATAATGAATTTTCACTAAATGAAAACATGCCAGCCTTGCTCACTGCCACTTTCACCCCTTACTCAGCTTTTCACATCCTGTGTACTGCATGCTGTACTCAGACCATAAGCCACTTTTGTGAGTTGATCTCAAAAATATCTTGCCCTCCATAGTTTTCTTTTTATTGCCAGTGGGATGAGACTATGTCCCTTGTACTGCGGCCACTTTTGTCCTGTTGTACCAGCCCCAGATGATAGGTGAGGATGATTGTGGAGCAATTGGTGGAATGAAGATTGGCAGGGGAAACTGAAATACTCGGAGAAAACCTGGCCAGCCATGGTGGGAAGCCAGCAACTAACTGCTAGAGCTATGGCGTGGTCCCTCCATAGTAACTTTTGGTGCTTGTCCACACAAACATATTTTTTTTATGTATATACTGTGTTACTACACTGGAATGAAATGGAATGGTGATAAAAATTGTTGATATCGTCAATTTCTTAATGTTGCATATAGGGAAGAATCTTGCATAATATGACTTTTATCATTCTTTTTCCTACAACAGGTGATTCACAAATAGCCATGGTTTCTTTTCCATGACTTGGCATTGGCTGTACTTGCAGTTCTGCTTCCCAAGCTATTGTACTATTAATCCTCACTCAGTTCCTTCCCTTGTCTAGGAGAAAGAATCTCAATTCCATAGACTGGGAGTACCATATGTATAAACAGAGAATTTGCTTGACTTTGAGGTAGAAGTACATATGTGCATAGTCAAAAAAAATTAGGCAATTCTTCGAAATATTATATAGTTGCAGAAGGAGATTATGTTTGTATGACTGAACTTAGCATGGATTGATGGCTTCATAGTCAGGTGCTCTCCATATTCAAGCCAATGAGAAATTTCCATCACATGGCATCATATGAACTTCTCTTCAATCCAGCAGCTTACACATTGCATCACTTGGCTAGTGAATGGGAGGTGGAAAACTTTAGATGACTGTGCTGCATGTTTTTTGATTCAACAACTTTCAACCCTAATTATGGCAATAAAATGGAAGTACCTAGACTTGATTACAAAGATTGAGGTAATGCATATCTTTGAATATGGTGGTTCTTCAAAGAGCAAAATAAGATGATGGTATGGATTAACTTCCTTGATATTGTTCACTATTTGGAAGAGTAAAGACATTTTACAGTCTGCTGTTCTGTGTGATGGAAGACCAGTGACTAAGAAAGAAATGCAGAATGCAGATAATGAAGTACTGGAATCTGCATTCTAAAAGTGAATTTACCAGGAATGAATGACTGTCATACCAATTGGTGGACTGAAAATCAAGGTAAATGTCAACCATTTCCCAGCATGTTTAAAGGTGAACTTAACAGTGTTCCAAGGCCTGGCTTCACTGTTTCAAAGCAAGAAAAGGCGCAGCATGCCAGTCAAATGGCCTGCATTTACAACTGGCCCATAATGTAGCATAGGCCTCTGTACATAAGTGTTGGTTTGACTATAACTTCGGTATGCATTGTGGAGAGGCAGGATATGTATAGTGGATGAGACTTTTGCTTTTGTAGGATGTCTTGTAACAAGTGGTCAGTTGTGAGTACAGGAGATTATGTAAGTATGAGAAATATGATATGATAATGCTAACAACTTGAGAATTTTGAATTATTCTTCATTATTTACATATCTCTCCGGTCTAGAAAACCAAGATTAACGGCCGTGGGGATCCATTGCGCTTACCACCCGACACCCTTTACACCCTTTATCTGCTAAAGTTGGCACTACCTTCTCTGACAAATGGTGGTCGCTCAGTTGGTATAGTTCTCTTGCGGACTGCAGGCCGCAGAAAATTTTTTTGTTTATTTACATGTCTCTGTAATACCCACCTTAGAATTGAATAATGCCTTTCCCGCATTAATTTGTTTTTTGAACCTGGGTCCCGTATTATGATGTACATAACAGGAAGTCAGGAAATGGGCTTGAGGATTTTGTTTCAGCAATTCTGGAGTATTACAGGTAGCCATTAGAGCAGGGTGATCTCACTCCTACTTGCTCACATAAGCAAAATAGGCTGTGAAGTACCTATTGATACACTTAATCACAATCATCATTTTATTTTGTTGCAGCTGGAATGAAGATAATGCCAATGTCAAGTGTAGGCAGTGCTACAAAAATTCTGCCAAAACCAAGTTTTAGCTCAAGTGGTCAGGCACCTGTGTATGTAATGAGTGCAACTACAGCCAGTGTTTCCATGGTAACAAGGACTGTACCAACAAGTAAGTATAGCCGAAGCCTTCATACTCACATGTTAACTTACCCAGACTTTATTTCTTTGTCTGAAATTATATGACGATGCTGTTTTTTCATTTAATTTGAGTTCTCATAAAAATTCATCATGGAAATGTAAACGCAAATACACTGTGTAAAACCATATCCCAGAGAGAGTTCTTAACTATGGTCCACAAGGAAAGGTGAATTTTGAAAGATCTGAGGAAGGAGAGAATAACCGCAGGACATTATGATGGCGGGGGGGGGGGTCGTTGGCCCTATCATTAAAATGATGATAAAGTACATCAAGTGAAAGTGACAACAGATCAGTGTGAGGCAATATGCCTTATGTATTATTATGCTCAATTTATAAGTTTTAGCTTTATTTGTAATTTTCGGAAATACAATATTGTTCTTTCCCCGAAATTATTTTACTGAGCTTGCGAAATGGCCATATACAAGGTGCTGTTAGAAAGTTCCCATGTCGTTATTGTTGTAAATGCCTCGGTGAAAGAAGAGGGGAGACCATGGTCACATTTCTGCAAGTCTGTTGCATCAGTCTGCCACGTGACACTACCTTGTAAACATTCATTATTTTTACACAGGTTGTTTTTTGACTTTGTGTTTTGTTTTTCTGCACTGAATGGCAAAATCAAACAATGTGTCTGCATCAAGTTTTGCAAGAAGCTTGATAAATCCACTACCAGAACCCTTGAAATGCTTTGTGAGGCTTTTGGAGAGCATTCTTTAAGCCAGACAGCAGTTTCTGAGTGACATTCATGTTTCATGGCTGGTCAAGTATCAGTTGAAGATGACGAACGGTCAGGGCAACCAAGCACCAAAAAAATGACCAAAGATGATAAAATTCGAGAACTCATCCACAAAGACCATCATTGAATAATCCATGAGCCCGCAGACACCGTTGGGATCAATTATGGAGTTTGCTAGGAGATCTTAACAGAAAATTTTAACATGCACCACATTGCCGCGAAGTTTGTTCCCCTACTCTTGACAAGTGATCAAAAGCAGTGGTGCTTAAATGTGTCTTGAGCTACAAGAGAAGGCTAACAAGGACCCAGCTTTCATCCCTAGGATCAAAACGGTGACAAAAGCTGGTTTTATGGTTATGCAGAAACAAAGCAACAATCCTTGCAGTGGAAGAGCCCATAATCACGAAGAGCAGAAAGGACACACCAGGTCCAGTTTTCAACAAAGAGCATGCTCATTGTTTTTTCGACATGAAGGGGATTGTTCACTGTGAATTTGTTCCTCCTAACAGTGCTCTCAACTCTGACTTTTACTGTGAGGTTTTGAGATGCTTGAGAGAAAATGTGTGACGAAAAAGACAGGAAGTTTGGCACAACCACAACTGGCTCTTTCATCATGACAGCACGCTTGCCCACATGTCCCTGAAAACAATGGAGCTTGTGACTAAGAACAACATGGTTATCGTTCCCTATCCTCCTTACTCGCCAGACTTAGCCCCGTTTTGTGATTTCGCTTTGTTTCCCAAATTGAAAATGACTCTGAAGGGGCAACATTTTGAAACAGTGTCTGATATCCAAAGGGAACCGCAAGTGGTACGCAACAACTTTAAGGAAAATGACTTCCACTGTGCTTTTGAAGCGTGGAAAAAAAATGATGTGATCGCTGTATATTTTCCCAAGGAGACTGTTTTGAAGAAGATGACAGCCAAAATTGAGTAAGTTAAACCCACATTTCTTTTTTGACCTAGTCCGGGAATTTTTTCTGATAATATGCTTTGCAACCAAAAACAACTGGAGAATGTGAAATGTTTTAAATATTTGGGTAGCTTGTTAACAGATGATGGAAGGTGTACTTGTGAAATTAAATCCCGGATTGCCATGGCAAAAGCTGCATTTAGCAAGAAGAAGAATCTTTTTACCAGAAAATTGGACTTAAATTTGAGGAAGAAACTAGTGAAATGCTACATTTGGAGCATAGCTCTGTATAGGGCTGAAACATGGACACTTAGGGCAGTAGATCAGAAACATCTGGAAAGTTTTGAAATGTGGTGTTGGAGAAGAATGGAGAAGATCAGTTGGACCGATTATGTGAGAAATGAAGAAGTGTTAATTAGAGTCAGTGGGCAGAGGAATATCCTACATGAAATAAGAAAACGGAAGGCTAATTGGATTGGACATGTTTTACGCAGAAACTGCCTTCTAAAAGAAGCTATCGAAGGAAAGATAGATGGGCGGATAGAAGTGACAAGAAGACGAGGAAGAAGACGTAAGAAGATGCTGGATGACCTTGGGGACAGAAGAGGATACTGTCATTTGAAGGAGAAAGCTCTAGATCGCATTAAGTGGAGGAATTGTTTTGAAAGAGACTGTGGACCTGTCGTCTTGACAGATTACTGATGATGATGATGATGCTTTGCATGACATATCAGCTCCTCTTTGCACACAATATCAGAAAAAAAATATTTTTAGTTTGTGCAATTGGTTTGACTAAGAATTACTGTATATGGGTTGAGAGCAATGACCCTGCCTTCCATGGTAAGGTTAAGCAAATCTGATTTAAGCTGGAGGAAGGGAGTTTAATAATCAGTGTTCCAGTGATTAAAACCATGTAGAAATTGTAAATTGCACATGGTAAACATGGCTTTAGTTTTCTTGATAATCACCATGTGACTGGACATGTTTGTAAACATTTTTTAAAATCCTAGACTTTGGTGCAAGCTATTGGGAGTCTTTGTATTTTTTTTATTGTTGACATTAACAGAGCAGACCCAGTAAAACCAAGTTAGTTTCAATAGGAATTCCATTGTCTTTGCATCAACCTTCTAGAATTCTTGTGCATCCTTTCATATACTAATTGAACTCAGATAAGGTTAAATGGGGTGTGACGAAAAAGTCAGCTCAATGTTGCTTATTTTGCTAAGCTTTGAGCCCCCTACACCATACTTTCACTGTCTTTAAGCATTGCATGAAAGTTGCATGTATAAATATAGAACAGAAAGAAGAGTTAGGGCTTCTCCCAAACATCGGTTAACTTTCAACAGACTACATGGTGTGCTTTCCCACCATTATGAGAACCCCAAATCCTACTGAACAAAGAGACTTCAACAATAATTGTCATAATTGTTCCAAATTTTTCTGTTATTTTAGTGTCTGGCAAAAGGCCTCAAGACATCATGATTCTCCTGAAATCTCCAATAGGTTATTCCACTGACAAAAATAAATGCAAAAAACCCAAACTATTGTAATGTTACTGAGAATTCCAGTAATTTAATATTTTAATGGAGGACATTTAGGTTGTTTGACTGAGTAAAATGAATGTAAAAGATTTCTAATCTGAAAAAAGAAAAAAGCCCAAGAAAACTGCAGATGGAGAAATATTTCTTTTTGTTTTACAGGCTAACATGTATAAAGGATGAAAGTCAAATTTCAGACCCAGCTATAAAGGAAAATATTTTGTGTTCACACAATACAAATGCTGGAATGATATCTTCACCCTTCACAGTTTGTCACTGAACAGGAGTTCATACAAAAATCTCTGGCACTTAACATTTTCACTCTCAGCAACTCTGTTGCCAGCTTACCTCCAAGTCTATCCAGTTTTGTAAATATTCCAGCAGTTTATAGTATTTCACGTTAAAGAAATGATTAGCAAAAATCAACATATATCCAAAGAACTGCAAAATCTAGCAAAGTCTACCATCTGGCAAAAGAAAAAATACGTTGTGCTCCAAGTGCATTCTGAAAGAGATTTTCATCTTGTCATGATATTTTACTGTCCAAGCCAGATCAGATATGGAAATGTGGACAGCGCTGTGATAAACAGCAAAATTTGGGTGCAGAAGTGAATATGTTAGTATCCTGACCTGGAAAGAATCATTCATATTTTCAAACACTTCAATATTGTTGTCCCCCATTAACTTTTCTAACAGAGTTGGCTTTCTTTTTCCATTTTTTCTCTTTTCTCCCATAAATGCTCCTCTTATATATGTACATCCACTTTTCCTTACTTGGTCTTATCAGTGTTCATTTATTCAACATTTTAGTTTTAATCTCTCAGATTAATATTGCAATCATCCTTGTGTCAACAAGCTTGAGCTTGCCAGTTCTGTATAAATGTTTTTGTTGATCTACTTCTCCCCATGACCTTAGCAGTAAAACTGTAACGTGGTCAATATACTGTTTTATATCTGTAGTGTTTATTATGATAACATGTGAACATGGAGCTTTCTTATTCGCAGGTTCTTCTCCTAGAGTAATGACAGTAAATAGTGCATCAGTTTCTTCTTCATCCCATATTCGCCCAACAGGTTCAACCACTTTTATTACCAAAAGCACTGCAAAACCTATCCAAGCATTGCACATCTCAGCTCAAAACCCCAACATTGCACGACCAACTGGAGGAAAGCCTAATGTTATTGTTGTGCAGAAAGGATCAGCCAGTGGATTCAGCAGAGGTGTAACTCTGTCTCATGGAGGAAAAGTGAGTATGATGCCACCAATTCCATGGTATGGTGTCTTCTTAAGCTAGTCAAGAAATTCCCAATTGCAGGAGGATGTCATTACCATGTTCAGAGAGGCCTACCATTGAATTATGTCCTGAGGCAGCTAAATCAAGTCCACACTCTGTCCCTTAAATCCATTTTAATATTACTATCTAAGTCTGATGCCTTTTGTGACAGTTTGTTCCCCTAGGTTAAAATGAAGGAAAACAGGCACATCACACATATGAGCAAATAATTAAACCTGGGAAGGGCATGTCACAATATGCCTAGTGGCCTAGGTAGATCAGTCAGTAGATTGATTTATCATAAAGAAAATGAGCAGAAGGATGGAAGCTGGATTCAGCTTGCTCATAATAAGGTCCAGTGGCAGTTTGTGAACACTGTCATGAGCCATTAGGTTGCATAAAAGGCAGGGAATTCTTTGACCAGCCAAGTTACTATTAGCTTCTGAAGAAGGACTGTGCCCCTCAGAATGAGTTAATTGCTTAGTCATTTAAATCATTTGCATGTATGCAAATTTATTAAGGCGGGGTCGAATCCCGATGAGGCGAATTTTTTCAATTTACCTAATGCTTTTAGCCGCAGTATGGCCCTGGGTTTGACTCAGCCTCTAACAGAAATGAGTACCGGGAATATTCTTGGGGGTAAAGGGCAGCTGGCACGTAAGGCTGACAATCTTACCGCCGTCTATGAGTCAATTGTCTAGAAAATGTTGGAACCTCAACATCTCACAACCCTATGGGCCTCCACAGCCTGTTACAGGGATATGTTTACTTTTCACTTTTTTAATTTTTTTCTTAGGAAAAGTAGGAACATGCTGAATGTAATAAATACTTAGTGTTTTGACTGTCTAATGTAAGAACAGATATAAATTTGTGGTTAAATATAAAAAATAGAATGAGTGGTATAAGATCTAATCCTCTGAAATCCTAATATGTGTCATGTTAATAGTGAGTGCTTTTAACACCCATGAGAGTGTAGGTATATCATAGTAAATTTGAACTCTTAAGTTGTCCATATTATTTTGTTGCTTGCAGGAAGTTGTGGGAAAAGTTATCATGAGCAAGTCTTTAACTTCAACTAATTTGCCTCCATCACCTCTCACCACAATGACTGTGCAGAAACCAACCACAGTTATACAGCCCAGTGGCAGCAGTGGTGGTGGCGGCCAGCAGGCATTGAACTTGCCAGTGTCCTCTACACAGGTTGGCCATTTTCTTTTATGAGTCAGTAGGTACTAAGAAATTAAACAAATTTTGCTGCCTTTCACATAATTCTTGAACTCTTAGTTTGAACTGTTACACTGCCATATTTTTCAAACTCTCACATCATCCCATGCCACCTTTTTGGATAAGATTTTGAAACAGTGATGTATGGGTTCCGAAGTGTACAGAGAAGTTCATGGAGGTAGGCTTAGGCCCACTGGGGCTGTAGTGCCAAGGAAAAAAAAAATGTATGGGTTACGTGAATTTTGTAGCGTAAGTCCATACTGAACTATGTGAAATTATCATTTTATATTAGTGCCACAGCATAAATCCCAAGTATGAAAATTTTCCTCTGTGAGAGTTAGTATGAGAAGAACATAAGGGAAAATATGAAGAAAATATTTTAGTTGTACTCATTTCACAGTAGAAGTCATATTGGCAAAAATTGTCTTTTGTAAACAGCTTTGGCAATTGAAAATGTATTTTTATTAAATGTTCAACTGTTAACTTCCAAAATATTTAATGAAGACGAACTTATTACTGCCTGAATAAACTAAAACTTCTTGCAGTTTTTTTTATTTCTAGCCCAAGCTTGCTGCTGCAGGCAGACATGCTTGTTATTTTTGTTACTTCCTCATGAATCGAATGATAAGTAAGAATCAGTGTTCAATCTATCCCTGCTTTATTAAGACTAAATTTTGATACACAATGGGTGTTTTGTATATATTCACACATATAACTATGGTAACACATAACAGTAGAGAGATTCTGTTTTTACACACATAACAGTAGAGAAATTAGGAACAGGCATGTAGTGCAGTCTGTTATTAAAATTGTTTACTACAATGTTGCCAACTCTAGCATTATATTTTAACATTAGAGAGTTGCCAACATAACAATGCTTGCAGTGACTATCAAAATGTCTACATCACCCATATTATTCACAATTTGATCTTGTATTCTCTGTGAAGAAGTGCGCTGTCATGAATCTTTCATGTTCTTTGAAGGTTTTAGCTTGAATTCAAACATTTATTCTTCAGTTTGTAATTAATGAATATCAAGACCAGTTGGGGGTGAAAAATTACAAAAAAGAAAGAAAGAAAAAGTGGTGAATGTGTACTTCAATTGGAGTGTGCCTTTTCATTCTTGTTCTTTCATACACAGAACTAAATACCAGTCATATTATGAAGACTGATGCATTTTCACCATCTTGGCATGATTTTAAAAATTCTATCATAGTAGAAATCAGGCTCTTACATTTGAAACCATTCACATACCCCAACAGCCATTCCCACTGTATTACTGAGGAACTGGCAAACTTGTAAGTGTTGTCTCACAGACCCAAACAAATGGCAGTTCGATAGGGCAAGGCTAGGACCATCTGAAAAACAAAATGCTTGATTAACACAAGTGTTAACAGACTAGCGAACCTTACTTACTGAACATCCGTCATACGTGGTGTGTTCAAAAAGTATCGAACCTTTGGTCAGCAGAAATACATTTATTGATTTGGAGGTGCAAAACCCTAATCCCCTTCAAAGTAGTCTCCTTGGTAATGCACACACTTCTCCCAGTGCTTCTGCCATTGTTGGAAACACTTCTGGAACGTGTCTTTTGGAATGGTGATCAGCCGGGCCGTCGTATTCCGCATGATGTCTTCTCTTGACTCAAATCAGGTTCCTTTCAGCGGCATTTTCAGCTTGGGAAATAGCCAAAAGTCACACAGAGCCATATCAGGGGAGTAGGGAGCCTGACGAATCACAGGGACGTTGTGTTTGGCGACAAAAGTCTGAATCAGATGCGCAGAATGGGCGGGTGCATTATCATAATGGAGCTGCCAAGTTTTTGCTGCCCACAGATCCAGTCATTTGTGCCGCACAGCATCACGAAGGTGATGAAGGACCTCATGGTAGTATTCCTTTGTGATGGTTTGGCCTTGTGGTGCGTATTCATGATGCATAACCCCACAGGAGTCGAAGAAAACAGCCAACATGACCTTGACATTGCTGCGGACCTGCCGTGCTTTTTTTGGCCTCGGGGATGTCAGATGTTTCCACTGTGATGACTGCATCTTGGTTTCCAGGTCGTACCCATAAACCCACGACTCATCACCTGTGATCACGGTGTTCAGAGAGTTGGGGTTACTGTTTGCATTGTCCAGCATGTCCTGTGCGATTTCCAGACGGCATTGCTTCTGCTCCATTGTTAGCAGTTTCGGTACAAATTTTGCGGACACTCTCCTCATGCCCAAATCCTCGGTCAAAATGGAATGTACTGATCCAATGCTTGCCCCTATCTCGTTCGCAAGTTCTCGGACTGTGATACGACGGTCCTCCATGACCAAAGTCCTCACTTACTCAATGACATTCTCATTTCGGCTTGTTGAGGGTCAGTCTGAACGTGGTTCGCTGTCCACTGATGTGCGGCCATCTTTGAAGCAGTTGTACCACTCCTTTATCCGTGAGTTGCTCATGGCATCGTCCCCGAAAGCCTGTTGAATCTTGCGAATGGTTTCCACTTGGGTATCGACAAGCTTGGCAAAATTTGATGCAGTATCGCTGCTCATGTTGTTCTGTCATTTTACACCTTACTGGAATCTGGTGAGCACTCACTACACGTCCTCACTCATAGGCCAACTGCCAGCGACTGACGCTTTCTGCGGGCGGGCAAAAATTCACAACTGCGCATTAATGTCCCCTCCACATCTCCACCAAAGGGAGCCTTCCGCGTTTCATTGGTTTACGCAGGAAAAAAGAAGGTTCGATACTCTTTGAACACACCACATATTCATAGTGTAATATATTGTCACTATCCAGAATACATGGAACTGTACCTCTGTGACCACTGGACACCTTAATGTAATGGTGCTTAGTCGCAGAGAAGTTTTACCTTACCTTCTGTTAATGAAGGCAGGATAGTTCAGTCAGTATAGTGACAGGCTATGGGCTGTACAGCTGGGGTTCAATTCCTAATGGGAGGGATAGATATTTTTCTCTACTCCAAAGCATCCAGATTGGCTCTGGGGCCCACCCAGCCTCCTCTCCAGTGGGGACTGGGGACCCTTTCCCAGTGATGAAGCAGCAATGGCATGAAGCTGACCATACCTCTATTTAGTGCCAAAGTTAAGAATGGTGGAGCTACATCTCCACTCCCCCATACATCTTCATGGCTTGGTGCTTAATTAAGCACAAGGACAATTTTACTTTGCTGTTTTTACTTTTACCTTCTCTTATTAAAATAATTTAAAGATTCTAATGGGAATTGTTAGGTTTGTTGCATGTTGTATGTACACATTTTTGCAGTTAATGACTTAACTCAGATTCTTCGGTGTAGGGAAATGTGATTGTTCTTGATTTAAGTCAAGAACAGTTGAGCAAGAACTCAGTATTAGCGGAGATCCTTCAGGCATCTGGTATTCTCTCTGACAGTGGAAGCTCTTCCTCAGAAAGTGCAGTGACTACAACAAATGAAACTTCAGCAAAAGGTACCTCACTTTCTTTATTACAGTGAAGTAGTGTTACATAATATTTCATGTTAATAGCAACCACAAATTCTATATGGCTATATATGTTTCACACACTTGTGGCGACTAATCATCCAACAATTTTAAATCAGAATCATGAGTCTAATTTGCTCTACTTTAACAAGTGTTTTCATGAAGAGGTAAGTTGATAGCATCCTACATATGTATGGTTAATTTGCAAAGTAACTTTGCAGTGGCTGCAGATTTTTTGAGAATTTTTTTTTTGAAACCATGTTGGATGTTACATACTGCCACAATTCTTGTGTCAGATTATGACACTTCACTTAATAATCTTGTATCAAATTAGTATGAAAGATCATCAGTAATAAATGCTAGTATTTGCTATTTCACACCATCTCCCCCCCCCCATTTTTATACCCAGATGGACCTGTCTGCATGAGCAAATTAGAATTATCCATGCAAATGTGTGCTCAAGACAGCAACAAACTAAAGGAAAGAATGGGGTTCTATTTTTTCTGAAGATATGAAATGTGTCATGATGTATTTTGGAGTAGGATAACTGAATGTAGTGGTAGAGTGGCTATCACTGTTGCTTCATATTCCAAGAGTCCTGGATTCAAATCTCTGCACAGAGACTGGCTGCCCTGACTAAAGTTTTTCATGGTTTTCCTCTGTCACTCTAGGAAAATATGAAGGTAGGAACTCAAATTAGGCTATCACTCCTTTCTTGCACGTCCTTTCCAATTCGTTACTGAATAATCATCCAACCATTCAGTACTATGTAGTATGAGCTACTGACAGCATCATTAAATAAAATATAAAAATGAAGTGAATAGTGTACTAAATGTTTGTAGGGCACCAACAAGCTCCAGGAGCAGAGATCTTCTTGAGAAGCAGATAGTTACTCAGCTTGCTAAGAAACCAAAGGTTTATTACTGCCTTCACAAGAGGCCACAATTGGTCTCTGTCCTGAGGCAGATGAGTCCCTTCCACATCCTCATACCCTGTTTCCTTTAAGATCCAGTTTATATTAATGTCCAACTCTGATAAAAATTATCTGTGTACTTCTCATCTATCCCATACACGCTACATTCCCCATCCATTTTGTCCTTGATTTGGTCACCAAAATAATGTATAATAAGGAGTACAATGAATGACGTCTTTATGCATTGTACACCATCTTCTTGTTACTTTCTTTCTGTTAAGTCAGTAGCAACACCCTGTCCTTGGATACATTCATTCTGTCTTGTGCAGGTGTTACCTTTATGGACTTTACTGTAGGTTTTGTTTATACAATTTTAATTAACCCAACTACTTTCACAGGTATGCCACATTTAATAAGAATGTTGCACAGTACTTCCCTCTTAAATAACGATTTCTTGAATTAAATAAATTGCTAATATGTTGTTCAATTGTATTTGCATTTTCATTTCATTATCTGATACATGCAGAATATCGAACCAGTAGTTGTTGTATTGCATCAAAATCCACAGTAATAATTCCGGATAATTACTGTGGATTTTGATGCACACACACACACACACTCATATATGTATCCATGTATGGGTTTTTGCTGTTAATCTTGAGTACAAAATTCCATTGATAAGTTTCCTGATCAATTTTCTAGCTTATGAATGCCACAGTCCTGAATATTATGATTCCAAACTTATGTAATGCATTGAAGTGGCATAAATGTTCTTTGTTAAATATCTTAATCATCAGAATGGATCCAAATGGACATTCAAGAGAAGCATGCTGTCAATGAGGTGGAAACCAGTGAACCACATGAAGAGGAAACAAGACCTCAGAATCCAGCATCACCAATGGAGACCATTGCAAAAGCACCTGTAGGGGAAATGTCTTTACCTGTGGACATGGCTGGAGGAAGAGTTGTCACTCTGGGTATAATCATGTGATAATACTGATTTGCTGTATTTATTTGTTCGGTGACTGAACTCCTCAGAAGGAAGAATGTTGCTATTATTGTGATCCTCCCTTAAAAGAAATCAGATACGAATATAAGTAATCGTTTAATTTGTGACTTCACGTAAGAGTCTACTAATTTATATATTGCCAGTTTCAACAGACAGGTGCTGATGTTTCTAAAGTAACACATTCTGGCTTTATGCTTTATCAGCTCACAAAATATGGGTGTGGGGATCAGCTAATGTTCATAGGCAGGCTGCTCTTTAGAGCAGAAAGAAGGGATGGAAAGGTCAAAAGGCTTCTGGTGTAGAAGATCTCAGTTCACTGGAATCCGTATATTCTTTGCTGGTAGCGTGTACATGGTAGAGGTTATCAGCATAAGGAACTGATGAATTACAGTTTAAATAACCATTAGATTCTCAGTCACATTTTACAGTTCATGGCCATTGGCAACTGAATAGTGAAACGCCCATTGAATGTTTCTTTTGGGTGCAGTAAAAAAAAAAAAAGCAAAGGTATCCCTGTAACAGGCAGTGGAGGTCCATACGGTTGTCAGATGTTGAGGTTCCCACATTTTCTAGACAATCAGCTCACAGATGGTGGTGAAGTTGTCAGCCTTACGCACCGGCTGCCCTTTACCCCTAAGAATATTCCAAAAATATTCCTAGTACTCATTTCTGTTAGAGGCTGAGTCGACCCCAGGACCATAGTGTGGCTAGAAGGATTAGGTCGATTGAAAAAAATTTCAATGAACTCATCGGGACTTGAACCCGCAACCTTCCAGCTTGTAGCATAGTTCCTGAACCAACTATGCTACCACGTACCCAGGAGCAATGAATTTAAAAACTAAACTGAGGGGAATTTTAAATGGATGTAATTATCATTGAAATTATTGACTCTAGATCATTGGAATTGAATGGGGGGAAACCTGAAAATGAGGAATATTAAATGGGGGCGCCACTTTACTTTGCCTAATGCATAAAATGAAATAATTTTGGGTTAAAACATCCTTTTGTTTTTTGATTATCCTGACAAATCTTTGAGAACTGGAATTATTGATTTAGAATATACAAGTGTCCAGAAATTTGCATTATGGACTTGACCATGTGATTCCTTGATGAACATTAAGATGAAAATGTCCCTTGATAAAATGCTGACACATAATTTTCACAGAAAGTTGGCACTATCACTATCATCTAAAGTTCCCAAAGCACAGATACAGTTGAATTTCCTGCAAGTCACTGTAAAGTGACTGTCACATTGGAGAAGTTCTCTACAACCAAGACCTGCTGTGTACATCCTCACCACACTCTGGATCTTAATAATAGCTCCATACTGTTTGCACCATCTGTCCGGCTTTTTGGTCTTCATCTTCACGGTGAAATCTTGAGGTGGCTCCATGTTAAATGCCAGCAGTCACTGAATATTACAGAAGTTTTATCTGGTACATCTTGGGGCGTTGATTAGGTGGTAATACTCTGACTTTACAGTAGTATTATTTAAAGTAGACTATGGCATCTTGTTGTAAGGCTCTGCATAAAAGTCAAAACTGTGTGCCATAGACCTGCCAGCAGCACTGGAATTCACCTTGCACTGGCACCTCTTTCACAAGGTGTCTCAGGAGTTTATATGATGAATTTGGAACCAGCACTTTTCTTACAAAGAAACCTTACACTTGTGCAGCAAATTTTATGTCATTAACACTATTGGTCATTTCATGGTGCATTATTTCAGCCCGTCTGCTGCAGTTGAATATCACAGCCTTCTGACCTGCAGATGTGCTCCTTCATCAGTTTCCATAGGAACACTGACTGTGCTTGCTGCACATTACACCCAGTATACTGTCACCTATTTCAGTTCAGCACAACATGCATCCAACATGTGACCTTAAATTCATTCAGTACTTGAGAGGGAGGAACCTGCTTTCACCCATCATTGATATTTTTCACCATGCTTTTCTGTCTGTCAAGAATATACAGCTTTCTGTAGTGACTTCTCATTTCTTCGAGGTTCAACTGGTTATGTCTGTATGAAGGCCAAGGTTTTGCCACTACAATTGTAACAGCAGGACACTGTACACTATACTAAGCTCTTCCTTTCATTCAATGTCAACTTTGGCAATATCACCTGCTTTTCATAGACTCCATAATTGTCTCTTTTTATCAAGATTCTGTGCCAAATGCCCCTCTACAGGGAGATGTGTGGTCTTTTGGTAGGTACTAGGCCATATTGGCCTGCCCAGCTCTGAGGCTGCCACTACTGATGTAGGGGAAGCCATTGTGCATAGTAACTCCACATCAGAGCAGCCTCCATAGTCCAGGGGTAACGTTCCCACCTCATGACTCAAGATACATGGGTTCAAACCCAGTGGAGTTCGTGAAATAATTTAAGGGCGGAAAAATTCAGGGAACAAGTCCTCTGGGAGGGACTTTAAGCCGTGGGTCCCATATCGTAGCTTTACGGCACATAAAAGAACCTCATGTCTCAAGGAGACCACTGAGCCAAATTTGTAAGGACATTTACTGCCCAACAATAGTCTCTAACGCCTCTGGTAGATGGGGGAAGCATCTAGATACCGCTGAGCCAGTAGAGGCCGAACTCGCTGGCTGAGTCAGGACTGATGGCACACACCAATACTGGTAGGGTATAGAGACTGGTAGAATATCATAGGGGGACGTACAATAGACCACTGGTCGCAGTGCATGGGGAAACCCGCCCCCTCCAATAATAATAATAATAATAATAATAATAACTCCACATCAGACCAAGCTCTAAGCTGTGATGTTCACACTTCTTTTGTTTGTTTTGTATCCTTATGGCAATATGAGTGAACCCATATTGAGGACAACAAATTGTGGTGGGTGAAACATCCATGCATGTGTGATAATCATCCTTCAGCTCAATTATGGGGAAGTCATAATCTTGTGACTCTAGTCACACTCATCTAACATATCGTGATATGATGGCTGAAAGCTGAAATATTGGAATGAGTGGAGGCAATCATTGCTGGACAGTGGCACAGTAAACACATTTCTGCAGCATAGATACTGACAAAATGATAGAGGATGCAGTGTTTCCTGTACTGTCCGTGCCAAGTGTATATAACAAGGACCAGCAACAGCAGTCGAGTCAGTCTTGAGTTACATTGTTAGCAGCAGCTACCTAGCAATGACTGGTGATGACAGAATAACAGACAGGAGACTCTATGTGTCCTGTATTTGTAGTGATCTATAGAATGTGTAAATTAGTGAGATTGTTATAGGTAAATCCAATTATCATCCCAAACACCATGTCTAATCGCTAGCACATGACAATATTGACATTGTTTAATTTACTTCTACATAATGTGGTATACCCCTCACCATTTCCTATATCCTGTTGAAATGTCACACATTTCTTCTTCGTGGCATGTCACATCACATTCTTGGAGATATGCACTGCAGTCCATTATTAGTGTTGGTCTTTGTGAGAAGATACAACTAGAGTCCATAACCTCAGGCACCGTACGGAATTCAGTGGATAATGTCATGGCGTGACTGCTGTATCTTCTGGGAAAGATTTTGCCCTTAATTGGGCAGTTCTTGCCATGACATTGTTTTATGTCGTTTTAAGATTTCTAACCTTTCACTTTTATTCTGCTGAACCAAAGAAATGTGTGTTTGTGTCCATCGGACTTATTCATATTGTTTTGGGTTTTTAATGAGAGGCCATACAGCTTATGATGTTTTGATGTACTGCTTTTATATAATGATTTTACAGTTCTCTCCTCACTCTCTGTCAGATGAGGTTGACCTGTGAATGTCAATATCAAATTTAACACCAAAACTTTGTTGAAGAAGTATGAAGATCACCATGTCATGTTTCATAATATTTGTTGCTTGCTTTGATTATATTGCCAATTGTAAATGGATCTGATGTCTATTTGAAACAGAGGAAGCAGTGGAACTCCTTGGGCAGTCAGATACTGCAGAGACCCGAGCACTGCTCACTCAAGCTGGAATCCAAGTTACAGAAACTGTGCCATCCTCTCACCAGGTCACCAGTTCAAGCAGATCTTCAATACAGGTAAGTAACGAGGATAACAACAGCATTTACAAGGATGAATAATGGAGCAGAGTGGAGAAAGTAGCAACAGTTGGTGGGTGGAAAAGAAACAACAGAAAGTCCTCACTCAGGGCGTAGGTCAGTTGCAGCTGTTATTAACACTCAGTCCCAGTTTTGTGAAACTTGGGTTAATTCTCTCAGAATTTTAGAAAGCAAAGTGAAACTAACTTACAAAATAAGTGGACTGTATTATACAGGCTCAGGATGGGACTGGTATTGGCCTCTTGTGAACATGATAATAAACTTATAGGTTCCATAAACGGCATAGAGTTTCATGATGAAATGAGTAACTGTCATTTTCACAGGAAGAACTGTTCCCTGGAGTTAGTTTATTTAACTGATTTTGATTGTCATTGTTGTTGAGAAAGAATTATTGAGGTCATGGTCTTCTGGGTTATGACACAATGTAGTTTCATTCCATTCACATTCTGAAGATGGAAGCAACAGGTTCCTGTAAAATAGTAACCACCTGTAGAACTACTTTGTGTCATAACCCAGAAACCCTCAAATCTTGTCAATGAACACTGTTAATAATTAATTATTTTCCAAGTTTTCTTACTGATCCTTGCCAACATCAGTATCGTTTGTGGTTGAAATAGTATAAAATAACTAATAGAGACAGGAAAGAACAGTAAGTGGTAGTTAGAAGGCTGTGCCATAGCTCAAGTTGTTAGTCACTGGCTTTCCACTGCGGCGGCCCGGGTTCGATCCTGGGTCTGGTCAAGTGGGATTTGTGGTGGACAAAGTGCACTGGGGCGGGTTTTCTCCAAGTACTTCTGTTTCCCCTGCCAATCTTCATTCCACCAAATTCTCCATCATAATCACCTGGGGCAGGCTACAATAGGCCAATCAGTGGCTGCCGTGCCAAGTGGATCCAGTTGGACTCCCGCCCCCACTAAGCGAATTTAAAAAAAGAATGTGGTAGTTAGGATCCAGAATCGTGGGCCTTTCATCCACACTTCAGGCTTTCTGAAGTAAGTTGGCATGCACAGTTTACATGAAGTCTTCACTGGAGTGTGCCTGTCTACATTTCTCTGAGGCGATTCATAATTTATAAATAATATCCAGGACTGTAATCTCTTAACAACATTATCAGGCTTTCATACTGGTGCTCCCCCTCACACATTCATACTATGCCCTTCTGCTTAAGATTGTTCTCAAGATGTATGTATCAGTTGCTGCAGGATATCCCAAATTAGATGCTCTCTCTTAATAAGGCTATTTCCTTGTGAATTTGTCCACAGAATGCTTGCAATATTAACCTGCACCAAGTGGTCCAACAAGATGTTGGTGATTCTGGAAGTCATGAAGTAATGGAGGTGATCGGGGAACTTGATCCTCAGACTGGCATCTACTCCATTCATCAGCCAGCTGCAATATCAGGAGCAGGTAGCTTGTACATCATGCACATCTGTATTTAGAAGAGCCATTTCAACCTCATTCTCTATCTTCAGCTAATGTCCTAACATGTAATTCTTATAATACTGTCGACACCTACCTAGTATTAATATTGTTTATTATTACCCTCTTCATGTTGTCCTATTTCTAAGTCATCATCAGGTGATACGAATGTTTAAACATCAATCATCTGAGTCGTCATGTCATATATTGTAATAGGACATGGGTCCATTGCTTGGATATGCAGGCAGTAAAGTTAATTAAAATATAATATAGTGTGTGAGATTTGGGTAAGATGTGTATAAGTGTACATGTGCATATACAGCACATATACATATTTATGACAATATTTAACAGAAGTACAAGAAAGAAAAATATATAATTTTATGCAATGTGATATAGACCTATATACAAGGGCTGTTCAGAAAGTAACCTCTGGTGAGCTGTTAACAAGCAAAAATGGGAAAAAAAATTGTACAGTCTTAAGCTACTTTTCCACATAGTCACCACTGGAATTGAGGCACTAGCCATATTGGGGAATAAGTTTTTGTATGCCTGTGTAAAAAAGTCTACAGCCTGTGAGCTTAGCCATATTTTGACACCTTCAATCAACTTCGCATTACTCGTATTGTTGGAGCACTGTGATCCAAAACATTTCTTCAGGTAGATAAACAGGTGGTAGTCATTCGGAGTGAGATTAGCGCTCTAAGGATGATGGTCAAACAACTCCCAGTTGATATGCTTCAGCAGAGCTTGAGTGCAAGCAGGTGTACTTGGGCACACATTGTCATAGAGGAGTACAAGTACACTGTGTGTCAGCATTCCACACCTTTTGTTCTGAATGGCCCTACACAGTTTTTTAGTATTTTTCAATACACTTCTGATGTTATTGTTGTTCCTTGTTGCTTGAATTCCACTATCATCACTCCTTTCCTGTCCCAGAAAACAGTTGCCATGAGCTTTCTGGCAGAAATATATGTTTAAACTATTTTGGCTTCTTTGGTGTATGTGTGTGCATCCACTGCTTTGACTGCTCTCTGGTTTCAACATTCACAAATGAAAACAAGGTATCATCACCTGTTACTCATATGATGTGATTGAGAAACTCATCGCAATCTTTGCAGTATTGTTGTTAAAAGGTCAAAGCTGAAGCCATTCTCTGCATTTTGTGCACACCCTGAGCATTTTCAGAACCCATCTTGCTCAAAACTTGTGACAGCCAAGCCTAGCCTGACTGATAATCTTATAGAGAAACATGCATGAAATTTGTGGAAAGTCATGTGAAAGTTATGAAATTGTGAAGCTTCATTTTTCACAAATTTTGAGCAAGATCATCATTCACTAGAGATGGCTGACCATTTCGCTCTTCATCACGAACATTTGTTTCCTAACCTTTGAACATTCTGCACCATTGTCTTACAGTTCCTTCACTCATTACATCTTGGTTGTAAACTGCTCATAATTCACGATATATTTTTGCAGCACTCATGTCTTTTAGTGTGAAAAAATGGATAACAGTGCAAATTTTGCAGCTGGCAGGATTATTGATTGCAGAACACATCATAAGTCACTTTGTAGGGATAAAAGCAAACACTAGATGACCAGTTATGTGATGGTTTACAAGTCATGTGATGCTACCTCACTTGCGAGAGCTGTCTCCCATTCCTACATTACTTACCTAAAATAAACAGAGGTTAATTTCTGAAGAGCCCTCGTTCATCATTTAGATTTACAAGAATGTGCTTGTATTGGCAATAAATGAGCAATAAGGTAAGCAAAATTTCAAAGAATGCATCTAATTTTTATCTAAATATTAGCATGTGACCCAAGTGTCAAGATTTGTCTAATAACATTGCTCCTCTTAAGGGGAAACAAGTGATTCCAGCAGAGAAGCTTCAAGTTCTGCTGTTAGGATTGTGTCCACATCCTCTGCATCTGGCACAATGGACATATTTAGTACAGCTTTGGCCTCAGCTGACATCAACCTTGATACTTTCCAGTACATAGAAGATGGAATGGGTATGTTTCTGTTGCTTGTCACATATATAATTACAGTGGAATCTCCGTTTACTCTTCCTAGATATAAGGTTTTCCAGTTCTGTAACATTAATTTTCAGTAGTTCCATTTTCATTATATAATATCAGGTCCCCTGCTTTCCTCAGTTTCTTGTTCCGTTCATTGTCTCCAGAGAAATATTAAATGGCTTCTTCATTGCTTAAGTAGTTTATTCATTTTCAACAATAGGAAAGATTGTATGTTAATTCTGTTCTTAAGTTGTTACATCATGTGTAAATGGAAGATTTTGCCATTGTTTCAGAGGTACAGTGTAACCACCCAAGAATATAATTAGTGTCCATAATTAAGCACTGTGAAAACCAGAAGTCAGCAATAAAAAATTATGAATTGAAGTCTATAATCAGGTAAACTGGCCTGGGTATCTCAATATGAGAAAATACAAAAGTAATTAAGTACTTCCCTTCACCCTCATCTATAGCTCTCTAAGAAATGATATCAATGTGGCAAGTTTTTGCTATTAATTAGTCATTATCTTTTTGCAGTCTGGAAGTCTTTTTACTTCAGTTTGGTAACTGGATTTATTGAACACTTACAGATTGTAACTACAGGTAACTATAGCAGTATCATTAATTAACACACTCAGCAGTTCACTACAGGTGTACTAAGTCTTCTCAGTCTGCTGTGTCTTCACCAGTCATCTGATAATGGCTTCCAGTGCCGTAGATCCCTTGGCTTCCATGTCCACATCCTTTACTGGCTGGTGACTCTTACAACTAAGTAAACTCTAGACTTGGTAATGCCTCAGCATGGACCACACAGAAAACACCTCTCCCAGCAGCTCTTCTGTTGTTGGATAGTACAGGTGTTGCAAAGACTGCGTGGAGAACACCACTTCCAAGTTAGTCCATTGGTTCAGGTTAGGTATCTGTTGCCTAGCAAGGGGCATTGTTTACAGAGTCATTACTTAGTGACTGGTCTGCATGCTACAGTATATATGAGTCCAGTGCGTTTAGTCAGTGTTCTTGTTTTTCTACAAAAATAGTTGTATTTAATATAAACACAGTGGAATTTACAATTTTACTAACTTTAAGTTTGATTTAACCATGGCCTTTATTTGTGTATTTACATTACATATGTATCCATAAATGTTCATCCTTGAATGGAGATTATTTTACTAATGAATTTACAAATTTTTTGTATGTTATTTCATTGTAACTAATTCCATTAAGTAGAGTCTTTCATGAGAAACTAAGAGTTGCTGAGCTGATCAAGAAATGTTTATGGAATGTGTGTTCACAAGAACCTGCCTCCTGACCCTGCCTTGAGCGAGACAAATCTGTTTCAGTTCTTACACCATATTTCTTTAAGATCAGTTTTGACAGTATCCATCCATGTAAAGGTCTCCCAAATGGTCTCTTAGCCATTTTGAATTTCTTCTTAATAAAAATGGAATTATGTACAACTACAACAAACTGTGTACTCCACATTGAGACCACTTTCCTAACTAAATTGGAATATCTTTGAATCCCTGTAATGTTTTAACACTTGTATTTATTTGCCTTGACTTTTCTTTAGAAGGTCACATTATTGTAAAAAGAAATTCAGGTGTAAAAAAGTAAAGCTTTCCCTGTACCAGGCCGTGAAGGCCCATAGGGTTGTGAGATGTTGAGGGTCCCACATTATCTAGACAGTCGGCTCAAAGATGGCGGTAAGGTTGTCAGCCTTACGCACCAGCTGTGCTTTACTCCCCAAGATAATTATTTAATTAATTCCTGGTACTCATTTCTGTTAGAGGCTGAAATTCAGGTGTAAACAAATACAATTATTCTACTTGGGTAGAAACACAAAGTACTTCTGTATTAACATAAGCTGTATAACTCAGATGGAATTGTTGAAAATAATGCAGTTAGTTTCATAATAATAAGTGTACCAGCTTTTCCTCGTTTTTAACTTAAGCTGGTATCATGTAAATTCAAACACTGAAGTGGTAGTTGTGTTTGAAATAGTTTCATAGAGTCCTTTAAACACGATGTTTAGTCCCAAAAAAATTGTTATCAATTTTCTTTTATGTCAGCAATCATTTTTTATTGCTAGTGGGGTGGGACTAAGTCCCTTGTACTGCGGCCACTTCTGGCTTATTGTACCAGCCCCAGATGATAGGTGAGGTTAATTGAGGAACAATTGGTGGAATGAAGATTTGCAAGGAAACTGAAGTACTAGGAGAAAACCTGCCCCAGCGCCACTTTATCCACCACAAATCCCACTTGAACAGACCCGGGATTGAACCCGGGCCGCCACGATGGGAAGCCAGCGACTAACCACTTGAGCAATGGTACTACCTGTCAGTGATCATAATCATTTAAATATATTCTTTAAATTGTGTTCATGTCCAGGTGTTCATGAAACATTTTTTCCATTGTGAAATACGCAGACCAGGTGGCGATATTTCGAGGACTGGGTTTCCCTTTCACGATGATAATGCATGAATTTGTGTGCGCAGACAGTATTTTTGTGTTGATTAAATTTCTTTCTAAAACAACAAACTAAATCTATTAAGAATTTGTCTTTAATTAAGAGTCATTAGTGATTATGACATACAAGTACAATGTATCACAACTTCAGCATCAGTATAAAGAACTGTCATACAACAAAGCCTAAAAATATTAATGTCTGAATTTTGTTAATAGTGACTTTGCCGTCATAATGGTTTTGCATGAAGACCTTTCATTTACCTCAGGCTATGTTTACATAATTACATTGTAACTGCACCATGCAGGAACCTCAGCAATGTTGTTGATTTACATTCTTAATTATAATATACAGGGTGAATCATATAGAACCGTCCCAATGATCTTGCTAATAATTCCGCAGGTGATGCATATAACCTCTCACAATTATGACATAATAATCCGTGGGCCGTGCTGAGTCAAATGGTGTGCGCATGATCCGGCAAGTGGCAGCCCTTATGCTGCAAGGTCAAGGACAATCCTGAAACATGTCTGCAGTGTGTAGGCGACAGTCATGGAGTACACTGTTGAACAGCAAGTGTTTCTCGTGCGCACATACTGGGCGACAGGCTCGATTGCAAACACACACTTGGAATTCAGGAGGAAGTTTGGAGTTCACAAGAAGCCAGCGAAATCGACTATACAGTCCTTGGCTCAGAAATTGGGAAGGACAGGGACGCTTTTAAGTGAACGTAGTAAAAACCACCTAGAAATGCCAGAAGAAACGATTGCAATTGTGCGGGACAGGTTACTGCAGTCTTCCAAGAAATCATTACGACGTCTAAGCCAGTAACCCGGGTATTCTTATTCAACGTGTCAGTGGGCTGCAAAGAAAGCGAATCTTCATCCCTACAAGATCACCAGTGTTCAGGAACTGGGTGATGTTGATAAAGATAAACGGGTACAGCACTGTTTATGGTTTCGGGAATTTATGCACGATAACCCCAGAATTTTGGATATCACTTAGCTTAGTGATGAAGCATGGTTCCACCTATCAGGATATGTAAACACGCAAAATTCCAGGATCTGGGCATCTGAAAACCCACATGAGATTGCTGAATCACCACTACACCCACAGAAAGTGGGTGTATGGTGCACCATTTCTGGTTTACGAATCATTGGACCGATCTTCTTCGACATGACTGTGGACAGCACCTTATATTGCTGTATTTTTTACGATTTCATGCAGCAGCTGGATGATGTGGAACTTACACAGGGTTATTTTCAGCAGGATTCAGCAACGTGCCACACGTCCAACATGTCCGTGGAACTGATTGAGAGCTTCTTCCCTGATCGCATCATCTCTAAAAAGATGTGGCCCCCAAAATCCCCCAACCTTACCAGCCCGGATTTTTTCTCTGGGGTTTACTGAAGGACAGGGTGTATGCAAACAAACCACGTATGTTACAGGATTTAAAGGACAATATTTCGGCTGAAATCAGGAACATCACTGAAGAAACACAGCAGCGAGTCATGGCGAGTATGCAAACGTGGGTGGAGGCATGCCTACTTGAAAACAGTGGACACTTTCAACACCTGATCTGATCATGGCACACAATCCAAGATAAGATATGTGTAAATTACTTTAATATCTGTATGGTATATTTTATATTTCAGTTCATTTTGTTGACCCGGATCTATATGAATCACCCTGTACTACAAGTAAACGAACTGTATTACTCTTAACAAAAGATGAAACACAATTGACCCAAGCACCAGCAGGCGCCAAGGATGACATCTGGTCTTTCTGAGGGACAAGCAAGCTGCAGGTCACTGGAAAACCCAGAACAGAGCAGGAAGTATCCCTCCGCGTTTTCTGGGAATTTCAATGCTTAACTTCGGCGGTACGAGTCTTTGAAAATTTGAGACTTAACAGATATGAGTTGCAATAATTTTCGGAGGGGTGTACCGAGCGGTTGTTACTGTACCTTCATTTATTTGAGAGCAGTCAGAAAGACCATCTTGTACTTAGGCCCAAATTTACATGGATCTGGTTAGGGATTGGCTGAATGTAAATGAGAGTAACACCCAAATTTTAAGTTCAGCGAATCAGCAAAATTTCAGAGGAGAAGAAACCGGGCATTCCCGGAATCGTCAAGACTTCTGCCTCTCCGGAGGAGTCAGTCATCTAAAGGGAGTAACTGGAGTCAGTTGTCTAAAGGGGGTAACAGGAGTAACCTCCCAGACATTAAATCGGTGTTGGCCAAGTCCAGTACACAAATTCAAAGGTGCTACAGCCTTGTAATATGTAATTCTAGTTCACATCTACAATAAAGAGCAACAGTGTTGCTGAAGTGTGTGTTTTAAGTGTTCTCTACTCCTTGTGTGAGCAAGGCCCAGAAGTCGCCCTGAGACAGAATCTTGTCCTACCGTCTGAGCAGTCGAAACCCCAAACACCCGCCTATCCACATTCCCCCCTTTGTTTTCCCCTTTCCAAATTCGTGGATTTCACCCAAGTCCACTGGCGCCCATACAAATTCAAATTCAGAGTAATCCCACACCCTACCCTGAACCAGATGACAACAAGGAAGTGGCAGATGAATGTAAGGGCACTAAGAGGACAGTTATAAGTGGTGGGTCAGTTATAACATCTATTGACATATTAATGTATCTGTGTTGCAGAGCAATTACAAGCAACAGACAGTAGTAGTAATGCTGGAATATCAGAGTGCAGTGACCAAAGTAAGCAGGTGTTGCACTATCCACAATCTACTATGGTTGTGGAATCTGTTAATAAACAGGTGAGTCATCTTTTCTACTGACATTGCATGTTGGTTATGAATACTCGATTCAGTCAAACTGGGAAATGTCATGCACAGATTTAAATTAAAATTCTGTTAACATAGTAATACATATAATTTTCCCCAAATCATTTTACAAGAAAGTAAAGAAAAATAATTTTTGGAATATTATTGTGTTTGAAAGGATTCTGACGATGGTGTATACTGTACTTCTTTTGGCTTATTTTGGACTTCACCCATCGTCCGGTATATAGTAGGTTAAACCTTCCCTATACACCTGAAGACGGAGACAGATCCAGTCTCCGAAACGTTGTGGTTTTTTGTCTTTTTATATACCGGACGATGGGTGAAGTCCAAAATAAGCCAAAAGAAGTACATTATTTTTTTTATTGTAATGTTAACTTTATCATAGGCATCCCCAATTATTATGAAACTATGATTTTATGCCTGTTTTGACTAAGAAATCCCCATATTACATTTTCACAATCTATAAACATAAATACAAATATATAAATTTGCTTCACACTTCAGATGTGGAATTTTGTGTAAACTGGCAAGCTGAACTCTCAAATAAGACTAAGGTTGCAGTTTGTAAATAAAGGTTAGTAAGGGCCTCCTGTATATAATTTAATGAAACTTTTATCAGTCCAAATAGAGTTTTTATATATTTACACAGTAACAATTTACACTTTTCTTTAAATTCAGCACTGCAGCAGAACATACAGGTAGATTAAGCTTGTGCAGCCCTAGTTGTGACCATCATTATTTCAACCAGGACTTCCCACCATATGATTGAGCTGGTAGGGAATACTGGTGTCAAAAGCCTGTGATAGGAATAGTGTGAATGAGAAATGTTCTCATGTCTGTTAATCAGGCAAGACATACATTTAGTACATTTAGTATCCAGGTGTATGAATATTTCCTCCTCAGTCATTCAGTGACTTTAATCATTTTCTGCACTGCTTAATTGTGCGGATTCTAACACTAGCCATACAGTTTGGATCACTGTCTCAACCTTTTGTCTGTGCCACCCCCCTCCCCTTAATTAACAATATTTGCAGCTGTCCACAACCCCGTTTGATCAAAAGAAATTACTTTTCATTTTACTACCAGACTTCCTTAAACTGGTGTATACTTTCATTTTACAAAAGCATGTTCCTCATGACATGCTTTGTGACTCACCAACTAAAATCCACTACTTGAAACCATTTCTTTAGGCCTATCAAATAATTAAATAATACAATGAAATTAGTAAGGCCCTTTTATCTTAAGCAAATGAATGTCTTGGTATTTGTCAGCATGTATGGTTTATGTTTAAGGGGGCATGCAGTAGCATAGTCGGTTGAGGCACTATGCTATGAGCTTGAAGGTCACGGGTTCGAGTCCTGATGAGGTGGATTTTTTTTCAATTGACCTAATCCTTCCAACCGCACTATGGCCCTGGGGTCGACTCAGCCTCTAACAGAAATGAGTACCAGGAATCTTCCTTCAGGGTAAAGGGCAGCCCTATGGGCCTCCATGGCCGGTTACAGGGATAGCTTTTATGTTTAAGAGATCTAAGCTGCAAATCTTGTCTTAGAGACTGGCTGTTGTGAGTGGTTTGCTTTTTTGCTGCCAAACAAATGCTAGGATAGCATTTGGAAAGAGGCCAATACTGCTTTTTTCTACAACCTTTCCAGTTCAGAATTTATTATTGTTCTATCACTTGATGCTCTATTATATTTCACTGTAAAATTCATGCACATTTAGTTTTTGCATGGGTGCATGATTACTGACCGAGCGACCGCCGCTTGTCAGCAAAGTTAGTGCCACCTTTTGTGGATAGAGGGTGTCGTGTGGTCAGCGCAACGAATCCCCATGCCCGTTAATTTCGGTTTTCTAGACCGGAGCCCCTATTCCCTTGATAGTTCACTTGCGGACCAAAACCACGGAGTTTGATTGTTTGTTATGGGTGCATGATTAATGGAAGTGGTCCATCATAGAAAATATTGCTCCGTACTTGACATGTTTGTTAAAGTGAAACATATTCTCCAGAAGTCGTGGGTTGGTCCAAAATGGGCTTAATTGATTACAAAGATGGCTTATTTTTCTGTTTAAATATTTTGTATATTGTAGCATGTTTGGCTACTGAAGATGCCATTCGGATTTGTAATTGGGTTTATTAACCATTCGGTTACACACTCCCTCTTAATTACATTCTAATACAGCGTTGTCACTGATTTACACACTTTCCAATTCACCATTGCACACGCACTAGGATTCTCTGTCTTCCACTAGTTGTCTTCTAGTAATGGTTCTCCACACAGAAACTGTCACTTCAAATCACTCCAAGTATTACACATGAAATCTTCCAATCACACTTTACATCCTCACAAACCAACCTCCTGTGTTCTTCTTTATCCTTGGTTCCACTTCATCTGCTTTCCGAATCACTTCAAGTATTACACATGAAATCTTCCGATCACACTTTACATCCTCACAGGCTAACCTCCTATGTTTTTCTTTATTCCTGGTTCCACTTCATCTGCTTCCTGAATCACTTCAAGTATTACACATGAAATCTTCCAATCACACTTTACATCCTCACAGGCTAACCTCCTGTATTCTTCTTTATTCCTGGTTTCACTTCATCNTGCTTCCTGAATCACTTCAAGTATTACACATGAAATCTTCCGATCACACTTTACATCCTCACAGGCTAACCTCCTGTATTCTTTATTCCTTGTTCCACTTCATCTGCTTCTGCCACTCAAAAATACTCCCGAATACTGACATCTGTTTTGTCTGTAACTGTCGTTATATAGCTTCCACACTGACGACGCAGAAAACAGCCTATATTGTTGGAACATATTTACTGAGCGATTGCATAGTAACAGTCGTGGCACAGACTCCATAGAAAGCTAGTGACATGATAGGTGCCGCTGTTGCATGACGTCACAGCCTAGTGTGGAGGTGTGTTTACCAAACATTGCGTAGCAACAGGCTGGATGAGGGTATGTGACATCACTCACAGAAACACATAGGTCATGTGACCTCTACTTACTGTTGCGCAATCCAAGCATTCACAGAGCTGTTGCCTAGCAACACACCAATACAATCCACAACTCTCCCATTGGTGAACGTGTCCCAAGGCCTCTGTGGCTCAACAGTTCCTGCATAGAGCAAATACGCCACATTGCTCCCTCCTTAAGGCTGTTCATCCTAATTAGCCTAATTGTGTATCCCTGTTCCTTTTCTTCCAAGGGCTGTGCTTGCAATGTCTTCTTTTTCTCTGTCTTGGTGTTTTTTTTTTCCTTTCTGTTGCCTGTTCTCAAACCGCTACATCCGCTCCCTCCTTAAGGCCAGCTTGTCCCGAGCAGTTCACTGCTAAGTTGCTAAGACATCCAGATGTATTGCCCTAATCCAAAATCTCCCCCCACCCCAGGTCCATTTCCTCATTGTCCTTTATTTGCTTGCTGCCTCGTTTCAGGCCCAGTCCCTTATGCCATTGTTGCATTCCGGGACCTTCCAACATCTACTCTCCTCTATTCGGCCTTTCTGGGTTTCTTGCTCAACATTGTCCCTGGTCGAATATTTCCTGATGAAATTTCCCCTTGCGCCATGCCACTCTTGCACGGCAGGTCATCTTTCTGCCAGTGGCCAATTCCTACCACAGTCTACAGTTTCCCTGGGTCAAAATTTCCTGAAGATGTTCCTCTTGCGCCGTGCCACTGTTGCATGGTGGGTCGTCTTTCTGCCAGTGGCCAATTCCTGCCACAGTCTACAGTTTCCCTGGGTCAAAATTTCCTGAAACTGTTCCTCTTGCACCATGCCACTGTTGCACAGCAGGACACCTTCCTGCAGGCGGCAGCCAACTTTTTCTGGGATCCATTGCATTTATCATCACATTCTGTGGCACATATTCTTTGAATGCCATACAAATACCTATTATTTTTCAAACAAATCAGAACGTCAGTCATCATATTCACTGATGGCTTCTCAGATCTAAGTCTTCATGTCATATTTGCCATGTTACATCAACACATCACAGCATCTCATCAACTGATGTATGGTCTCCTTTGTGGCATTCATGTGGCTGCAAATTAACACTACAGACCATATGACAACATATCAGGTACCAATTTTCATTGAATTGTGCCACATTCATTATTCTCCCACACACTCTTGATGCATGATTTCTGGTGCATAAGAATGGAACGTGTGAAACATGCTGGTACCTTTTTCCCAGTTAAAAATGATGGGATGTGAATTATGCAACAAAATGCAATGTATATTGTGCAATTAATTATGTTGTCATTAAACCAAGAAACTCTGCCTTATACTTCTGAGAAATGTTCATGTTGCTGAAATGAGCAAAGATTACAAATTTGAATTTGTAAAAATCAAGTGCCTGAACATTGTAGTGCACTGATAAAACAAATCTTTTTTAACAGTTTCCATGGTGTTTTTCATTATTTCTTGAGACGTGCATTATGTTATTTAGGCAAGCCGACCGAATGAGCAAGTGCTTGATCCTGGTATTGATGACCACTTGAGTAACTTCTTGCAGCCAGGAACAGGGGACAGCACTGCGGTGACAGTGGAGCCAAGCAATATGGGTAATGATACAGTTTTGCCATATTTCTATGACCTTTCCATTATAAACTTTGGATTTATAAATCCTGCAGTGATATTGACTTTAATGACAAGATGGTATTGCAAGTGCAGCGACCACAGTTGTGCATTTTTTGTTGTTACTTCCCCTCATGGCCATGTAGTTTGGGCATGCATGTTCTTAAAGGCCATTCATATTGGAGCATGAATATCTGTCCAGCTCTTCATATCTTGTTGTGGTCTGATCACCAGTCCAGAAAGTTCTGCTGTGTATCGGAATGAATCACAAAAATTGCATCTTAGGCTAAAGTTCTTAAACTGTGAAAATGAAAGAAGTTACTCCACCTACTTTGTATGAGTGTTTTCACTCATAAAGAGAGACTAGTATGACTGTTCTTCCTGCTCCTTCTCTCCCTGTGCCGCAGCCGGACGATGGGTGACACTTAGAGGCATTCCTTTTATGGCAGGCTGCTGTCACTACCTTTAGCCCCATGTTTAGAGATTACCCTGGTTATAGTTTATGCTATCTGAATTTCTCCTCGGAGACAGGCTGCATGAGGGGTGGCCTTCTCCACCTGTAGGCAATGCAGAAAACTGCTGCTGACATAGTTGACCTTACCTCCTTCCCCTCCATGTTGGTGTTGAGTTGGGAAGGCAGAAGAAGAAGTCACCAGGTTACAGGAACTACAGATTAGTGTAATGCCTTTGGGTAAGGGTCAGCAAGGGGTGACTGACTCTGGTCTGTGACTGGGTAGGACATGATCTCTGGGCTTAATTGGCCTTGCTGTGGCAGGGAAGTAAGAGCATTCTTCACACACACACACACACACACAATGAATATGCTGGTTACACTTGGAGTCGTGATTTATTGAACAGTGCTGGCATAATTTATACACACTTGAATACTAGCAGAGTTCACTTTAATACTGTCATACACTTTCTAATAGTTTACAGATTGGTTTACTGTTGCCATCTACACTCTGATCTCTTTGGATAGTTGACTAATAGTCAGCCTAGTAGGTTACATAGGTCATGAATTTAGAATTTTGAGAAACATAGATTTGCACCCAAATACTTTGATATCTAGAAGTTGAGTATTTGCAGAGCCAAGAGGTTCTGATGCCCAGAAAATTTTATGACCCCTCTTTGCAGTAAAGGTTACCACCCTAATTTTCCCTCAATGTCCTAGTTTAAAAATTAAGAACTCTTTGTAATTTCTGGATTTCCAGTCATGGAAGTTCGTAGTGCCTTTAAACCTTGAGATGCAAATGGCATCCTGGACAGACCAGTGATTGATAATGGTCAAAGCATGGGTCTGTCGCCCTCCTACATGAAGATACACAAGATACCAAATCTGGAATTACACAAAGTTTTGCTGCCATCTCAGAACTTAAAATTTCTATTAAAAAAAAAACATTAGAAACATCTGGAGAGGACAGAAAGAATCGTCATATGTCACCTCCTCAGGGCTCTGTGTGGCATATCTCTCCATACTCTAAACACATAATGTATGTTTTTAATTATAATAATTAATTACTGCTTGTTATAACCTTTCTTACTTGCATACATTGCCGCAACATAGCTCAAGTGGTTAGTCGCTGGCTTCCCATCGCAGCGGCCTGGGTCTGGTCAGGTGGAATTTGTGATGGACAAAGTGGCGCTCGGGCAGGTTTTTTCTGAGTACTTCAGTTTCCCCTGCCAATCTTCATTCCACCAATTGCTCCACAATCACCCTCACCTATCATCTGGGGCTGATACAGTAGTCCAGAAATGGCTGCAGTACAAGGGACTTAGTCCCACCCCACTAGCAATAAAAAAAAATAATCCTTACTTACTTACTTACTTACTTACGCATGGAGCTGAGCCCTTCTGGAGGAGCCGCCAATTCTGCAGCTACTCAAGAATTTCCCAGCATTTTATGGAACCCGAAGGTTCATTACCGTGTTCACAAGAGCCCTCCACTGGTCCCTATCCTGAGCCAGATCAATCAAATCCATACCATCCCATAGTATCTCTCTAAGATCCATTTTAATATTGTCCACCCACCTATGTCTTGGTCTTCCTAGTGGTCCCTTTCCTTCTGGCTTTCCCACCAATATCCTATATGCATTCCTCTTCTCCCCCATTCGTGCTACATGCCCTGCCCACCTCATCCTCCTTGACTTGATCATTCTAATTATACTTGGAGATGGGTACAAGTTATAAATCTGCTCATTATGCAGTTTTCTCCAACCTCCTGTGACTTCATCTCTCTTCGGTCCAAATATGATCCTCAGCACCCTGTTCTCAAACACCCTCAGTCTATGTTCCTCCTTTAATGTCAGAGACCAAGTTTCACACCCATGCAGAACCACAGGCAACCAGCAGGTTATAATGAATGGTTACACTAGCATGTATATAGGCGAGTCAATGAAAACCTTAAATATTTTTTTGAGTATTATTTATTGTGCACAAGTGGTACAAAGCTGTATCACTTTTCAACATAATCTCCCCCATGCTCAATGCAAGTCCTCCAGCGCTTACAAAGTGCATGAATTCCTTTAGAAAAAAATTCTTTTGGTAGCCTGCGCAACCACTCATGCACTGCGTGGTGTACCTTTTCATCATAACAGAACGTTTTTCCTCCCATTGCTTCTTTGAGTGGTCCAAATATATGGAAATCACTTGAGGCAAGGTCTGGTGAGTATGCCAGATGAGGAAGACACTCAAAATTGCAGGTCATTGATTGTCGCAACTGTTGTACAGGCAGTATGGGGCCTTGCATTGTCTTGTTGCAAAAGGATACCTATGGACAGCAATCCACGTCACTGTGATTTGATTGCAGGCTGAAGATGATTTTTTAGGCCATCTGAGTATGATGCACTGGTGACAGTGGTCGCTGTAGGTGTGTAGTGCTCCAAGATGACGCCTTTTTCGTCCCAAATGGGAGTCAGCATAACCTTCCCTGCTGATGGTTGTGTTCGAAACTTCTTCAGTTTTGGAGATGAGGAATGGCGCCATTCCTTGCTTGCTCTCTTCGTATCCGGTTGGTAGAAGTGAACCCAGGTTTCGTCCCCAGTAATGATTTTTGCAAGGATTCTTGCATCACCATACTGAAACTTCATTCTTTGATAAATTTCAGTAGGTTTCACACCTTCACTACACAAAAACCGAATAACAGAACACTGTTCTTCCCTCGTGCAAGTCTCAAGTGGGGCAGCCATCTTATACTGGTGCTGTGACGGTGTTCGTGCATCTGCACTATGCTGCAACCTACATGCCATTCTGCACACTGTTTGTAGCACGCTTACCAGCTTACAGGATAATGGCGCGAAATTTCGATTTTTTATTACAAATTTAAGGTTTTCATTTGACTCACCCTCGTATAATGGTGATGATTACTGATATATGAAGCCACCATTTGTAACCAGTTACTGTCTTGAAATCAGTTTTTTGTGGCAGTTGTTACTCAGAGGTTTTGGTCATTGGTTCAGTTTTGCTTTGTGAACATTGTAGAGACCAACATCCAACTTCTTCCTTATGTTTCACACAGCCCCGCACTGTCACTCATTCACACATAACTTCACAGCAGCACCCAATTTCCCATTACATTTTTTCCCATATCAAATCCTGTAGAAGATTCAAGGGGACCTCAGTCTTTCTCATCAGCCAGTCGGTCTTCTGAGCATCCAGGAGGGCTTGAGTGATGCTCGCACTGGCCCTGCTGAATACCTATTTTGATTACTTAAAGGGAACTCTGGATGTTCTGATGAGATGAGAGGCACATGTAGGCCAGATGATGTAATCTCATCATGTCTGTGGCCAATTCCCTTGACAATGATTATACAACTTAGTATTCTATAACAGTGTGTACAGTGTCCGATAATATGGATTCCCACCACCTGAAAGTTGTCAGGCGTAGCCTCAAAGTTTTGTACCATCACCATATATATGATTCTTAATGTACAAAAGCAAGGACTAAGAGAGATTATTAACCTTGGAGATTAAGCTTCCACATTGTATTAAGAAGTGAACAAGAAAGGATAAAATCCACAAGCAAGACATTAGGCAAGAGCAGAAGGTAGAAACACTGCAAGACAAGAAGAATGGGCAAATGCATCCTTGGGGTAACATTAAAAGGGTGCTGTTCGTTTATGCATGACATCTGTCTGCTGTCTAGGTGTGTACAATGCATTGTAAAACAAGTGGACAAGAGCTACATGGCTGGATGATAGCAGGAGGTCGGACATCGCTTTTGATGGCATACACAATAGGTATTGTTATTATATTAGTGGTTTTCTTGAAATTTGTAAGTCCTAAGAAAGTATTGTAAAAGACTAATACATGTATTTTATGAATTCCTGTAACTTTTGTTCAGGACAGTATTTCGTGGCAAGTTATATCAGAATATACAGCTAAATAATGTTGGTATTGAAATGAATTAAAATAAACGAAATTTATACCTGGCAGTGCTCTTATGTCATGAGAATCGAAATGTCATAGAACTCAAAAAGACATGTATGAAAATTAACTTACATTTGGCAATACTCATATAACAGAAGTGCTGTATATTAAGTATCATTAGAAGAGAAATATATATTTTATATATATTCATAAATAAAGTGCTTTTTAGATGTTCCAAACTAAATCAAAATCAGACTGCGCCATAGCTCAAGCGGTTAGTTGCTGGCTTCCCACAGCGGAGGCCCGGGTTCACTCCCAGGTCTGGTCAAGTGGTGCTGGGGTGGGTTTTCTCTTAGTACTTCGGTTTCCCCTTCCAATCTTCATTCCACCAAATTCTCCATTATCATAATCACCCAGGGCAGGCTACAATAGGCCAATCAGTGGCTGCCGTGCCGAGTGGATCCAGTTGGACTCCACCCCCCACTAAACAAAATTTAAAAGAAAATCACTATGATTTTGGTTAGTGTACGTCTGCAGTACCATGTTCAAGCAGAATCAGCAGTCACGTAGTTTGAGGACAAATAGGAAGGCAGGCAGGCATGATGAAAGTGGTTGGTGGTTTTTGAAACTGTTGTTAAAACACCTAAAAGAGACAAAAGAATATTGTGATGTGGCTGTGTTACACATAAACATGGCCAGCAGAATCAGAAATGAAAATAATGAAGAATAATGATCATTGGGGTGACCAAGGACTAAGTGAAATGACTCGGTGAGGAAAGATACACAGAATGGACTATGGAAAGTGTACATGGACACAAGAAGTGCATCTGGAAGGACAGAGATACCAGGCTTAGTTATGAGATAGTCCTCCTTGGTAGAAACATCAGTTGATGATATTTTGAACTACACATATCATCAGATCAGAGGGAAGACAGCTAATATGTGTGCAGTATATTATATGTATCCAATCTGAAATTAACAATGATCTTCACATTTTATGGCAATCTAAGACTGCACTTCCTTTTTCACATTTTATTTTATGATTCATGAGCTAAATTGCATCAACTTTTAAAGAATCAAATAAAATTGCATTTATCCATGTTTACATCTAGATAAATTTCTTCACTAGTTTGTATCAGAACTTGTATGTTATTCATAAAGTAAAAGTAAAGGTATCCCTGTAATAGGCCGTGGAGGCCCATAGGGTTGTGAGATGTTGAGGTTCCCACATTTTCTAGACAGTCAGCTCATAGATGGCAGTAAGATCGTCAGCCCAGCGGCCTCCGTAGTCTAGGGATAACGTTCCCACCTCATGACTCGTAGTACGCGGGTTCAAATACCCGGCGGAGGTCGTCAATTTTTAAGGACGGAAAAATTCAGGGAACAAGTCCTCAAGGAAGGACTTTAAGCCGTGGGTCCCGTGTCATAGCTTTACAGCACGTAAAAGAACCTCATGTCTCCAAAGGAAGCCACTGAGCAAAATTACGGACATTTCCCACCCAACAGTAGTCTCTAATACCTCTGGTAGATGGGGGAAGCATTATAGATACCACTCAGCTAGCAGAGGCTGATCTCGCTGGCTGGGCGGGACTGATGGTAAGCACCAGTACCGGTAGGATATAGAGACTGGTAGAATATCATAGAGGGAAGCACAATGGACCAAGACAGGTCTAAGTGCATGGGGAAACCCACCCTCTCCAGTAACTAACTAACTAAGATCGTCAGCCCTACGCACCGGCCGCCCTTTACCCCCAAGAATATTCCTGGTACTCATTTATGCTAGAGGCTGAGTCGACCCCAGGGCCATAGTGCAGCTGGAAGGATTAGGTCAATTGAGAATAATCCAGTGACCTCATCAGGATTTCATCCCGCGACCTTCTGGTTTGTAGCATAGTGCCTCAACAAACTAAATACCATAAAAAATAATAAAGAAATGCCCTTATATATGGCCAAAATATGGTCCAAAAGTGAATACATCTCACATTCATGATGTTCATAGTGCATTAGACATTAAATCCTATGCATAATAAAAGAAAAAAAGGGAGAAATATGAATATTTTAGAAAAATACGTCATACATAGAAAATTAGCAAACAAGGCATTGAGATGAATGAAATACATGTATAGATACAGTTGTACCATGACATACATATTATTGGGCCTACAGTCCCATTAATTGCCTCCAATTAGACTTAAGGTCCAAACTTTCTGACTTACAACTTTAAATTCAAATTCTGGATCTTAGGCAGCTTCATCAGATAGCCCAAGAACCAATGACCACTCTTCTGGTGTCCTCTGCTAAGTGGAGCCTCTTCCAAAATCTCCTGTAACCAGGGGCTCTCCTATCTGAATTCAACGAGGTCCTGTAGATGTCAGATTTTGATTAGATGTTAATTTAATGTTCATAAAATTTTTAAATGCTCTGGGCATGTTGGATTATTACTCTTCGCAGTCCCTTTGTAATGTTTTGGTGGCTTGAATCATAACTCTTAATGATCCATGTTACAATATTAATTTATTTTTAATAATTTAATTGTTTAATTCTATGTTATTTGATATTCCTTTATTGAATTTGTATTGAAAATAATAAAGCCATAAAAATATTGAAATATAGGTTGGAGGCTTCAACTCCATGAACTGACCTGATTTTGGGAACACATTAAGCCAAAATCTGATATATGACTACAATAATTCCAGTATGTGGTATCGTTCTAGAAACTCATGAACACTTGGTCACAGCACTGTCATTCTGCTATGCATATGGCTTTAGCACACAAGGAAAAAAAAAAAGGGCACATGTAGCTATCACTCTAAACACACACACCATTACACAGTTTGTGTAGCGGTTATCCAGTAGACTTATATTTGGGAGGTGCTTGGTTCAAATCTGGACTATAAAACCAAGATCAACGACCATGGGAATCTGCTGCGTTGACCATGTGACACCCTCTATCCACAAAAAGTTGGCACTGACTTTGCTGACAAGCAGCGGTCGCGCGGTCAGTATAGTTCACTTGCAGACTAAAAGCCACGGATTTTTTTTTTTTTTTTTTTTTTTTTTTTTTTTCATTTGTTCAAAACTCGGGCAGGACACCAATTATCCTGCCTGAGGTTTTGTGGTTTTCCTCAGGCCCTCAAAGCAAATGTCAGGATAGAACCTCGATTAGACCATGGCTGCTTCTTTCCAAATCCTTCCCAATTTATATTCACTCATCATAGCTTTCAGTGCTACTGTCATAAAATAACACCCCAAATTTAGTGACTTGTGAAAGTTAACCATCTTAGGATGACATGTTTTATTGGTCTAAACATGTGTTAGAAACACTTCTTTCAAGGTTGTATTGAAAATTTTATGAATTAAAATACCGTAAATACAGTGCATCCATAAATTTGTCTTTGTGTAACAACAGAGAAATATACATCTTCTGATGAAAATGTGCTTTATGCACAAAATTATGTTATAATTTTGAGATATGTTTGTATTATTTTGTATTATTTTCTTTGCAGACACATCTGGAATGCATATAGAAGATTTCAGCTCCCAAAAAGTACAAGGACAGGATATCACTTAGCAAGTATAATTAACTGTTACCAGCCTGGGATAATTTGTTGCTGCCTTGAGAAAGCAGATAATGTGGGGCACAAGCTTCCAGGAAGTTGTAAAAATCTGTGGTCAGAATAATTAAAAGCAGCAGAAAGAAGAATTTTGAAAGTTATTTTAAAATAATAATAAAATATTTTCAAGTTTATATGATTTATGATTGCATTTTTAATGATAAGGATCTACAAATGTGCACATTGATATAGAAGATTTGGATTTCATACAGTAAACAGAAGTTCCCAACAGTATACTATGTTTGTCCCTATTCCAATAAAAGTTCAGTTCAGCAAGGAAGATTTCTATCTAACCCCTTATTCATTCTCTAGAAGTAGGAATATGGAAATATCTAGAAACCTACTCTGTACCTCCTAACACACATTAACAGGCCTTGCACATTTATGCCAGGTCGTATCCATCAAACCTAAAATCAGTTCACCACTTAAGGTATTACCAACATATTAACATCAGTTTTTAAAAAATGAGAAAAGCTGAAGGTCTTCAGTGGAAGTGACTGTGTGAAATTCTGCTCAAGAAGTCATAAAATTAACTCAGATGAGTAATGGAACTATATTTTTCATTGTTGCCTGTTGATCCTTTTGACCAATTTTATCTGTTCATTAGTGTAGCACTGTCAAACTGTCTTCAGTCTAATGATTATATATCTAAATCTAACTCTGTACTCTGGACAAGATACATTTGTGGCTTGGGAAATATTTTATACCATATACATATAATTGATTTAAGCTCCCTATGTCTTGATGAAACAGGTAAACAGTTAAAACTTGAAGGTACCATGATGAGAGTGCACTTAAGTTTTGAATAGTTCTGTCTTCTAGGCTTTAATGCTGTATAGTCCATTTTGGAGGAACATGTCACCATCTTCATGGTCAAAGAATAAGCCATGCAAGAAACCAGTGTGAAGCAAGCAGCAAGCAGAGCTCTGCTTCAGACTGGTTTCTTGCTTTGCTTACTTGACCCAGAAGATGGAGGTGACATGTTCCTCCAAAACATCAGTTGACTTTCAACGGACTTCAAGGCATTATATCCCAGGAAATAGAAGTCTTCATAGCCACCTCAAATTCTACATACTTAAATTTTTATCATGCAGTAAAGTTACATCCAAGTTGTGAAAAGGTACTGATAACTGCTGATACATAAATATTGCATTTCAAACAAATGAAGGTAACGCAGTACAATTTTGATTATCATCTTCCTCATATTTTAAGAACAGTTCTGTTAAACAAAGTCTATTTAACATACCATATTAGCCTGAACATGAGGCTCGGGTACTTTTTTTAATACTGCTTCTTACAAAAGAGGAGCTACTTTATTTTTGGGTCCTTAAGGATAAATATGAAGATGCATTATGATGAGTTCTAATTGCTAATTCTAATAGTATTTGTGAAAATACCTAATATTATATTCAATGTATTACATTTTTAATTATTTCTTAATAGTATAGTTTTTACCTCTTTTTAGTATTACCCCTTGCCATCCCATTAGGTGGACAAAATTTAATGTTGGAGCTCCTTGCACAAATTTCCTGAAAGTCAGCAGTCAGCCTATTGGAAATATTTTTCTTAATTTAGTAGGGGAAATATTCACCAAAAGCTGTCCGGAAATTATGATTTTCAGCCACACTGACTGAGAGTAAAGTCCACTTTACCATTTTCTTTTAGGGCACGGGGGAGGGTTATGGAAGTAGTACTGAGTACCTCTATACTTAGGCTGTGAATGTCCCACTGTACCAGCCAAGGATGATAGGTGAGAGAAATGGCAAGGGAAACTAAAGTAAAGAAAGCCGTCTTCTGGGATGTGGCGCCATGTAGAAATTGTGTTAACCGACATTTTGGAGGAACGTATTGCCCCATCTTCAGGGTAGAAGACAAGAAGAAATCCATGAGCGAACCAGTTAGAGCAGGTGCAACAGACTGAGTCCAGTCGAGTAAACACAGCTGTATAAGAGAAGGAGAGAAGGAATGTGGCTACACAGGGAAATAGTAGAGAGGGGGAGGGGAAGGGTCTGGTGGAATAGCCAGCAGGTAGTGGGCCAGAGTTGGTATAGAGTATGTATTAGGGGGAGAAAAGGGAAGGTTAAGTGGAGGACATGAACCCTATAGCTCAGGGGCTGCGATGGACCTGAGTAGCCTGTATGGTCTGCCGTATTTTGGGGGTTACTTGAGGGAACNTCAGTATAATTACCTAAAGTCACATGTCTTACAGTTTTAAAAAGCAAGAGAATGCCACTTTTGACAAGTATCAACCAGCTTTTCAATATGTAAAAAGAAAGATTACACAAAAAGTTATGTTAGAAATAGCAAAACATTGAATTTCCTGCAGCCTGCTAATTTATGACTGTGTGAGACTTCTTGTTTTCTGGTCTGTTAGAAAATTGTCTTTACAAAAAATATTTCTACTAAAATTTTAATATTGATTTTAATATCAATTAGCTCTAAAAGTTGAGGGGCCGCATGTTTGACACGGCTGTCTAGAGTGTGGGACCCTCAATGTCTCCCAACCCTATGGGCCTTCACGGCCTGGTACAGGGATAGCTTTACTCTTTTTTTTTTTCTTCTTTTTTTTGTTTGAGGGAACAGATGAGAGGCTTCCATGACTTGCTGAGACAAAACCCCACCTCTCTGTTCATGTTGTCGGGACGGAGTTCAATCTCAATGGCCTCCCTAATGATGCGAGCCATATAACAGGTCTTGGTAGCAAGGATGGAGGTATTCTGAAGCTGAATGCGGTGTCCCTAATTGATGCTGTGTTCAGCCACAGCTGGCTTGTCTGGATGTTCGAGACGTATGTGCTGCTGATGCTCCTTCAACCTCATGTCCACAGAACAACCCGTCTGCCCAATATAAACCTTGCTGCACTCGCATGGGATATAATTTCTTTGGAGACAGGCTCACTGGTTTGATGTTGTGCTGGGAGAGCGCTCTGCTAATACGGTTGAATATAGTCCCCACATAAGGCAAGAAGTCCAGTTTATCTTCAGGCCAACAGTTCAGAACTCTGTGGATCTGCCGGTTGTATCCATTCTGCCTGAAAACATCCCCCAGGAGTACCAATTCCACATGTAGGTTGTCTTGATCGCATAGAGGTCTAGCCCTGTGCACCAATGTGGAAAGTACAGCTTGCTTGTTGGGAAGGTGGTGGTGGGATGTGGCTAAAGTACTTTGACAAAACCTGCCTCAGTACCAGATTTTCCACCATAAATCTCACATGAACTGACCTGGGATTAAAGACTGGGGGTTTGAGAGGACATTCTCTGTTCAGAATTCCTATAGTTTCATACCTCTGTGGTCCCAGTAGGAGATGGGTAATAGAAGCTTCTGCTTCACAGACAATATCCCATATCATCAAAGAAGCCATAAAAATAACTAAACAATCCCATAACTTAAACTGTGAAAATGGATAGAGATTGAGCAAAGTTCAACTGCACTACTCCAGATCCACCACTGAATCACCTACATTCAGCAACCACTCACATCCCTCTCATATCCATGTGGGAAGAATGTAGGAAAAAAAAGAGAAAAAATCCTTGACAGTCTCATCCTAAAAATGGGGTCTCTGAAGTTCATTCATTAGCCATGTGGTCACTGAATCATTTTTGATCGTCTCTTCTCTGACCACATGGTTGTACCCTGTTGGTTAGCATCCTACCTCTATGTTCATTCCAAACTGACACACTGCCCAAAGCAGGAGCTATGTAAGAGCTGCCAGATCCTCCCCAGATTATTAACCTCAAAGGCAGAAACTGCAAGATTTTCCAGCATGTTGGAAAACCTTCAACATTACATGTGGTGTAGTCCCAAAAGCCAAACTGGCATAGAACTCTTTTATTAGAGGGAGAAAAATGTTTCAAACAGAAGTTGTGGAGAAAAAGGAAACACCTCCATCTGTCTTAAACTCTTCAAGATACTCAAAAGTTATTTTCTGCTGTCATATAACATAAGAACTGGTGGACTAATTTTGATCAAATTTTCCATCAGAGGTCCTTGCACAGATTTCTTGAACATCCTCCTGTTTCATATAAATTTATGCAGTATAAATGGCATTTTGCATAAATCCAAATAAAGATGTGAAGACAGAAGGTTAACACTTCCTTTTGTAATTTCATGCTTTTTCTACACAAAAATTTCAGTGTCCTTACAGCCCAATGGAAACAAACTTTGTAACATTAATGTATTACACCATTTCTACACAACAGCTGTTATAAAACTTAGAATTCAAATTATTAAATAATTTGAATTCATACAAGTAGGGCCAAGAATTTTTTTGTTCACCCTGTGATTTCTGTTCTAGGTGTTTCTTAACTGTATTAGATGTCTCAAATATTATTATGTTGGTGAGTTTGAAGAGGTAAGTGAGATAATTGTGCATTGTGTAAATTAAAATGGTTGGTTCTATACGTATAATATAAACTCCGTCGTAAATGCAACACTTTATTGTAGTTCTTGTCCCCCTTCTTTCACACTACATGTATTGAAGAAAAGCAGTGGCACGCACACAGAGAGCCTGCACAAAATAGCACGCGAGCTGTGCTGAAAGCAAGAGGTAGCCGCTGCAGCATATAAGCATAGAGCAGGTACCTCTGTGATTTTTTATTTTAAATTTAAATATAAATATTAAATATTAAAGCTAAATTGAGAATTTAGGATCTTAAACCAATCAACAAGTCAATATTAATAAAGATTTAAACATAATTGACAAAACCGACAAGGGGACTTCTGGAATATCGGGTGCCGATTGATGACAGAGCAATGAACAATTGGAAATCTGGAGTTTAAATGTTAATATTGAGTGCAGTGTGACAGTTACGTGAAGTGAAATTCACCTGATGATGGCCGGTTGAGGCTGAAACATGTAGTGTGAAAGAAGGGGGACAAGAACTACAATAAAGTGTTGCATTTACGACGGAGTTTATATTATACATATAGGAGTGTGGAATGTAACATGATGCTTAAGTATAATATAGTAAAACGTTTAGATTTAGAATTGGAGTTGGTTATTTAATGACACTGCCAGTATCGAGATTATATAGCATCAGATGACAGAATGATTGGAAAGGATTTGGAAGGAAGTTGTCGTGGCCTGATTGAGGTACTACCTGGTGTTTACCTGGAGGGACTGAAGAAAACCATGAGAAACCTGAGGATACCCAGTGTTCTGGACAAACTTGAAACTGACCACCTCCTGAATGAAAGAGTGTTACCACTAGGCCAACCTTTTCAATAAAAGTGGTCAGATTGTCTCTTACAATATTTAGGTGAAACAGACCATACCTTCCAAAAGAGATAATAGAAATACAAGCAATAAGGCATAGTAGAGATAAATCCAATTACACATTACATATGTTGGATATAGGCACACATACAGAGACATAAATACCACAGAAATAATTAAAATTGCCAAGAAAAGGACTGTCTGATATCATGCTGTTTCTGTTAACTGTGCCACCACTGTTGCATATTCTCAAATAACATAATGCGGTAGATTCTTAACCTTAACTTGTAGCACGTGTCTATAGCATACTCATCAGAGAAGCTGATTTAAAATATGCATATATGCTATGTTAAAAATTGTTAATGCATGCATTGTATCAGCATGAGCCTTAATAGTGGTGGCTCTTGGCAGAATGGGTAGGGCCAGGGCTGAATAATACTCACCGCACCCCCCATATCTATAATTAAGGAAAGGGGGGAAAATATGTATTCTTACTTAAATGTTCACATCTTAAGAGTTTGCTTTCCATGTTATATAGTACCTTGTTGCTATTTTAGCCTCATTTGTGTTGACATGAACGTTTTAAACAAAGGGGCTGTGACTTACAGCTGAACACTACTCCTATTGCTAGAAATACAATATCCCCTTTTTTCAGGAGAGGATTTTGACCCTGGTAGGACCATCTATGCCCTCTACTGTCCATGTGGCACATTGACAGACCAGTGCTTTTATAGGTGCTTCAGTAGGGATGTGTGCAAACTTAAAAATACAGTTCCCATCATCACCAGTAAAGGTGTCATTTCTTACATCTTTATTTTATATCATTGGTCCTGAATTGGTGATTCAGAGGGGTACATGAAGCCTTAGGGGGCACACAGTAGCATAGTTGGTTGAGGCGCTATTCTACAACAAGCCGGAAGGTCACGGGTTCAAGTCCCGATGAAGTAACTGGATTTTTTTCAGTTGACCTAATCCTTCTAGCCGCACTAGGCCCTGGGGTTTACTCAGCCTCTAACAGAAATGAATACCAGGAATTAATTAAATAATTTTCCTGGGGAGTAAAGCGTGTAAGGCTGGCAACCTTACCGCCATCTTGGAACCGATTGTCTAAATAGTGTGGGACCCTCAACGTCTCACAACCCTATGGGCCTTCACGGCCTGGTACAGGGATAGCTTTACTTTTTTTTTTCTTACATGAATCCTTATCAGCCAGTATGGGATAATTTACAAAATATATGCACCAAAAATATTCATTCATTCATTCATCAGTAATCTGTCAGACGACAGGTCCACAGTCTCTTCCAAAACAGTTCCTCCACTTACTGCAATCTAGAGCTTTCTCCTTCAAATAAAAATATGCTCTTCTGTTCCCAAGATCATCCAGCATCTTCTTACGTCTTCTTCCTCGTCTTCTGGTCACTTCTATCCGCCCCTCTCTCGCATACATTGTATCTCTGTTTTTGGAAAGAGACTATCCAGGAAAAGTGATAATGTGGTAGTTTTTCCATTTGCTTTCCACATCGCAGTACAACAGTCATTCAAACCACTCTGGTCACGCCTATTGCTATGCGAACTTGAACAATCACAAGCATCATTTGCTCTGTGCTTCAAGTCGCTGCTGATGTCGCTGCTTCCAGCATCAGTTTTGGGTTTTTGGTGTCTCTCTTCGTCTGATGCCTACCCTTTGACCTGTCCAGCAAGGGAGCCCCTGCCAGTAGCTACGCTACCGCTGGTATAGCTCTCAGGGTCCTTGGCATACTCAAACTCCCTCACCAAGATAAGGCGGAGACACCGAAGGGGACTAAAAATATACCATTCACAATATTGACAGTATATCTAATAACATAAAGAATTATGTATAAACAACTTCAACTATGGTATTTGTTAATAATCAATTGGGTGAAAAGGTTAACATCCTTGCATTCATGATGGTGACCAGCAGACATACCATGAGGTGTTGACTTACCACAACACTAGCTACTGTAATAAAGTGGGGATTTTTCAACACCAGTGCATCAAACTTTGCTCCGTTGTAATTAGGCACCACATAAGCAGCCATATAATGTTACTCACACTTTCCATTTTGGTATCATATTTGGAATATTGTATGCTTTCTTGATTTTGGTTAATAAACAAAACTTGATGCTGTTGATTACTCAAAGTTTCAGTAGAAACTGGTGTGCCTTTGAAATTGTAAATATCTTATTAATTAAAGATGATTAAAACAATTACTGTCAATTTCACTTCTGGTGATTTTCTAAGTGCGTAATTACACCCTCACAGACTTAGCACTGTACCATCCAGCACTTCCCTTAGAGCACTATAAAGTTCACTACTAACTACATGGAGCTGACCCCTTCTTGAGAAGTCACCAATTGTGCAGCCACTTGAGAATTCCCAGCATTTTATTTAACCCAAAGGTTCATTGCCATGTTCACAAGAGCCCTCCACTGGTCTCTATCCTGAGCAGTGCAGTGCACACCACCCCATCCTGTTTCTCTAAGATCCATTTTAATATTGACCACCGTCTATGTCTTGGTCTTCCTAGTGGTCTCCTTCCTTCTGGCTTTCCCACCAATATTCTAGTTCACTACAGACATACGAAATGGTCATGATGTGTGGTTTTTAGAACATCAACAGAAAGACGTGTTAATAAAATTTATTAGACAATCATCATAAGTAATATGCCGTATGTTCCTGGGTGATTGGGGGTGTCAACTTTGTGTTGAAAACAAGCATTTCAAAGACATCTGGACCAATGCAGTATAACCTCTACTCGATGGATCAGCCTCGGAAACCTGGGAAAGATCTAGCTGACTGAGTACTTTACCGTACTTGACCTTCCCATCTACAACTATCACAAAAATTCCGATGTCACAATTTTCGTATATACGTGATTTTTTTTAAATAAAATGCTGAAAAGTTTTATTTGGCTGGTAACGGACTCTGTGGAAAGGTAAGAAGTCGGCCAAAATTCATTCACTCGCCGTAAAAGTCATGTCTTACACACAGGGCTTGAGGTGGGGTGGGATGGTATCCCGGTTCTTTTCTAAATGGCTTAAAAGCATCCCGTTACTTCTTTGGCAGTAAATGCCTATGAATTAAATGGGGAAAACCATCCCGGTTCTATTTTCATTCCACCTCAAGCACTGCTTACACATTTACTAGTACATGCACAAGGTTTCGAAATTTACTTTCGTCTCTTTCAGTAAAGACGCATAAGGTTGATCAATAATGAAGAATGAACGATTGTTTCATAGTGAACTTTATTATAAAAATATTGAACTGCGCACAATGGGGATTAGTTTACTTCGGCACAAGCGGTCAATAATCATTCGCTTTCGATCCCTTATATGGGCTTATATGGTACCTCCTGCACTGTATACTTTACTCGTATACCATACATGTGCAGCCTTTAACGCTATAACTTCCGTGGCTGGTTGGGCCACTATCCATGGATACAAAATGCTTATTATAAGTAGGCTATCAACGCAATTGAGACGACGGAGACCGTAGAAGCCATACAAAGCCGGTCTGACCACTCTGGACGCTCTGGACGCTCAGCGCCCTTGCTGCTTGCCGGTCGGCCAACGTGGTCATTCGTGGGCGTTCGTGGTTAATCGTCTTTATTACTCTGTGGTGGATATCGGTGTAGTCGGTGGATATGAATCTACGGGAGCCGTGATTCAATGTAACGAACACGGAAGTACGGCGCCAAATATTTGATTTGTAAGTTATAGTAGGGTTACATTTCAGCTGTTTAATTTTGTTTGGAAGTGAAATTGAAGTTGAACACAGAATAAGCTTGTTGAGAAGTAAGTATCATAAGTAAAGTTTTAACAGTATTTATTCTGTTGCTAGCGCAGTAGGTTTCACTGTAACTTATGCATTCCAGTGACTACTCTTTTTGAATACAGTTTCAACAAAACTCATGTAAGCTCGAAGGGTTTATATTCTGAGGCCGATGCATAAGGCTGACAACATTACAGCTAACTTTGAGCTGATTGTCTATAGAAAATGTGGGAGCCTCGATGTCTCGCATCCCAGTGGGCCTCCTCAGCCTGTTACAGGGACAGCTTTACCTTACCGTACTGTATTATAGATTCTTGTTATTGTACATTTCTGAACTTTAGATGGGTGTTTTAAATATGTTTATTAGGTGTGTAATACCTTTTTATTTTTCAATTGATAGTGAACCTGGAACTGTATTATAGATTCTTGTTATTGTACATTTCTGAACTTTAGATGGGTGTTTTAAATATGTTTATTAGGTGTGTAATACCTTTTTATTTTTCAATTGATAGTGAACCTGGAATTTGTCTGAGACTTAAAGACAGCAGTCCTATTACCAGATTACTCATCACTAGTCTAGTAACTTATCATGGTAAACTTACTGCTACTTAATAGTTTTGAAAGAAATGTACAACAGCTAATAGTTTCTGACTTATGGGTTTCTTTAACTGTTTCCATGGTATTTGGGAACAGAATGGTAGTTATTTGTAATGCACCACTGATATGTAAATGTGTTTCTCATGATCAGATGGTGATAGTTGGCATTCTTGGGCAGTTTTACTGCAGAGACATTGACAATGTAATGTAATCTGACAACAAATGATTATTTTGTACATAAATTTGGCGTATGCCTTGCTCATGTGCTCTAAATCATCTTACCATTATTGTGGAAGAATAGTTATGCCTCTTGCACATGTACACCAGTAGACTGCCAGAAATTATATTAATAATTAAAAAATTTAGTAAAACAGTAGAAAACTGTTCCACTTCCTTCTTAGGATTCCCGCCCACAAAATTAATAAGCACTGTCGTTTCTACTGTTCCCCGAGTTGGTTATACAAGTAGATAATATTATGGACAGTAACTGACTGTTTCTTTTGAAGATTGGGATTGAATGGCATGTGATTGGAAATCTTGGTAGTTCCAAACTTGTACATATTGGAGCCAGGAAGACTTGTGTGGTGATTGAGTGGGTTTACAGGCATGCAAACTGCTATGGCTGTTTGCACCTGGTTAAAAGTCAAGACAAATATGTTGTTTGTATGTAGTGGGAACAATATTACTGTTCAGTGTAGAGTCTTAACATTTTTTATGTGTTGATAGATCTTAGAAACTATGCAACTTTTGTTGAAATATTGTATTTTAGCATCCCGTTGCATTGAGGCATTATCCTTTTAAAATCATTAAAATGTCAATAGGACACTAAAAGCAGTGAGTGGCATATTCTTGATGTCTTTTATATTGTTGCATTATTGAAATGTACTTTAATAATAAGGATAATTTTGTTGAGATAATTTTTACAGAAAAATGAAATCTGTGATGTTGAAAGACCATGAAGTATTTTGATTTGATAACCATAAGCAGTCCTTTTTTTTTCAGCTAGTTATTATGTTAGCAGACAGTTGATGTGTACCAGTAAACTTGTCAAAAGTCACACATCTTCCAGTGCGTTATATATTTTGACCTTGATGCAAAAACTGAGCATGAGGGTGCCAGCAAACATATTTTTATAAAAGAAAAATATCCCTGATAGTGTGAAGCATTGTAATTTGGCATGTGATACTTATTGTAGGTATATCTGCTATTTTTGTGAAACTTTTGTGTTCCCCCCCCCCTACACTATGATGAAGTAACCAACTCCGTGGTTTTAGTCTGCAAGCAAACTATACAGAGTGACCTCAGCTTCTCAGCGAAGTTAGTGCCAACTTTAGCGGATAGACGGTGTCGTGTGGTCAGCGCAACGAATCCCCATGGCCGTTAATTTCGGTTTGCTAGACTGGAGCCACTGTTTCCTTGAAACAGCTCCTCAATTATCCTCACGAGGCTGAGTGGACCATGTTCCAGACCCACCACTTCTCAGAAAATCTGGCAGCACTGGGAATCGAACCCAGACCTCTGGATCTGTAGCCAGGAACTCTGACCACTAGACCACAGAGGCGGTCGCTATGGTGAATGTAAAATTCTAAATTTCTGCAAAGTAATATTGGTTTGAGTTCAGATGTGCTGTCACATACTGTGCTTCCCAAACAGTTTAAACAGCTGAGTTTAGAGGTTAAGGTAATGGTAAAAAGAAATAAAGTTGTCCTTGCACATTAAGCACCACTGCACCAATATGAATGAGTGATGGGGCTCGGGTGGTAAGGTACAGAGAAATTACAGTGCTCTTTGAACCTATATGACCTAATCTTTTTGGATTTCAAAATGTCTCATGCTCATTGGAAGTGCTCTGGTGTTTTTTTTTCCCCTACCATTTCCAGCACTGACTGCAGTCCTCTTGCTTTGTTTGTTGTATGGTATGGTATGCTCTAAAGTCATCTGCCTAAAGAGACACCCACCCCCCAAACCATCATTAGGACCATATTTTCTTGAAAAATTCACATTTTTCCGATACTACTTCTGAGCTATCTTTTTATATCTGGTTTTTGTTTCAGACATGTCTTCAGATATCATTAAATTTGAAAAATCATTGCAGCAAAGGCTCAGTGAGTATATGGATATTTTGGGTGCAAGAGGTAATTTACCAGTGTCTGGAATTGAAAATGAGTGGTATTACTATGTTGAAAATGTACTGGAACCAGCAGGTTGGCAGGCAATTTGGAAAATTTCACGACAGAAGTGTGAAGAATTTAAGATCCAGTTTCCTACACTTGTTGTTGTAATGGTATGGGATTTGTTTACATTAATTTAATTTATTTTTATACCCAAGTCTTAACTATTTGTTCTTTTGACTGCACAAGTAGCTGATATATTTCATTCTGTTCCAGTCCAGAATTCTCTTTCGTGTTTGTTTGCAGCCTGTTTGAAGTCATTAGGTCTAAAACATGCAAATTCTGAAATCATTTTGAATTTTAAATGTGTCAAATAGATACTTTTGTTCACAAACTGTATTATGACTTTCATTCAAACACATTTTAATACATTTCTTTCTAATGCAGAGCAACATACCACTAGTGTTGATGTTATCATTGTTTATTTTGTCAGTTTCATTGGCTTTTCGTATGTGTGCGCTGTATTTGGAATTTTGCCAAGAACACTAGCAAGTCTTGTTGTATCTACAAAGTAAATACTATCTTTTGAACTTGCAGCTTTGTTATTTTTATTGTTAGTAGTACTGCTATTATTTTCATTGTTAGAGTTGCTATTGTTATGCAAATGAATTCAAATTACAATTTATGTACATTATGTACAATTTATGTCCTTCATAGGACTAGACCAAGGATATGAAGCATGCCATGTGCACTGATGCTGTATAAATATAAATACATATAGTTGGTTGTTGCAACTATTTACAGACATCTTATTTTATAAGGATAAATTATACTCAGCAAAGTAATTATATAATAGAAATACCGTTTTCATAAATATTTGCAATAATTAAAAGTATTCAGTTAAGGTATCTTTATCTAACAGAGTAGTAGTAATAAGATAGAAGATAATTGTTTAATGCCGGCTTAAATGCTTTTATATAATTTAAATTATTTAACTGTAGATGAAAGATTATTACATAACTTGATTCTTGGATTGTACATTTGTTTCTGATATCCAGTTCAAGGTATGGAGGCCAATGTAAAGGTATAATTATGTTTTTTATTGAGCTTGTTACACTTAATGGAATTAGTCTTTACTTAAGGCCAAGTGTTTATTTTGTGTGTGTCTTAATCTGAAAATTTTCCATGGTTGTCCACAATGGACCACAGTAATGAGGGTAAGAATTTGCTGCCAAGGGAAAGGATGTTACACAGTCATTCTTGAACATGTGTTATTTTGTAGTGGTAACAGTTACATTTAATTTTAGGTAAGGAATGTGAATTTTGAAGAGTTGCGAGCTGTTGTTGATATTGTGGCTGTGCAAGATGATATCAGTCTGCCGGAACAACATGAGGTTCCCTTGACATCGCTGTACCCCACAAAGAAACAGGAAAACGAAATACTTGATGTTCATGGCACAGCAGACTGCTTAGACCAGCTCAGGTGTGATGGGGCTCTGTAATAAAATTCAAAATGTATTTTCTTTTGGGCTGAGCTTTTGATTGTGTGAGTTCATAGAGAGGAAGAGAAGCACTAGGAGAAAGAGGAACTATTTTAATATGGTTCAAGAAAATCATAGTCCATATTCAGTCATTTGCTATGTATGTAGTTAGGATATGCACATAGAAACCTTGAGGTTTTGTTTGAGCCTATAACATTCTTGTTTAGTAACTTATTTAGTTTTGTAGTTCCATAACAGCAGTTGTGATCATAGCTGTTATAATGTCAGTAAGACTCAGCCTGTGCCTTTTATGTAAAAGTGTAAAGATTTTGCAGTGCTACTTATTATGGTTAACTGGTTACATTCCATGGAAGATTTTTCTACAATCATCTCTGGCGGCCATGGGACTGTGATGATGAAAACCAGGATTGGCTCTCTACTCATCTTGAAGCTAGACTCCAGCTGTAAGTTTTACGAAGACTAGGTCTGTGAATAAATGGTATTCAGAAAGTCTCGCAGACTACTAAAAAATCTCCGTTGTATTAGTCTGCAAGCAAACTATACCGACTTAGCGACTGCCGCTTGTCAGTGAAGTTTGTGCCCACTTTTGCTGATAGAGGGTATCGCGTGGTCAGTGCAATGGATACCCACAGCCGTTAATCTCGGTTTTTCTAGACTGGAGCCGCTATTTCCTTTAAATAGCTCCTCAATTATTCTCACGAGGCTGAGTGGGCCCCGTTTCTTGACCCACTACTTCTGAGAAAATCTGGTAGCACCGGGAATCTAACCTGTAGCCCGGGACTCTGACCACTAGACCACAAACTTTAAGAAATATAATTTCTGTTTGTTAGTGTATTTTAATTTTATCAAATTTTCCACAATGCTAGAACCTACATGTTTGTGATTAAGATGCCATAAAGGGCCTGCTCTTCCTTTACATCATACATGTACTTTTTCCACAATGTTTGCCAAAACACAGTGGAGAGTTGACTGAGTTACAATTGAAGTATAAACTATGTTATTTTGTTTGAATGTTTTGAGTCATATTTTGTAATTTATTTCATGTTGAAGGCGCTCAGAATAAAGGCATTAACATCTCTTGAAAAACATAGTCTTCTGGGTTGTAATGCCTTACTTTATAGAGAGCCTGACATTTCAGAAGAACATGTTGCCTCCATCTTAACCAAAAGTAAACAAAGCATGTAATCAGCAGAAGTGAAACATCAGGCTTTCTCTGGACTCCATGGCATTACAACCCAGAAGACCATGAGAACCTCAAATCCAACATTTATATTTCTATATTACCCAAATTCTTTGTCTCTTCTGCATTATGCTGTGGGGCAAATATGATGATACTCTCCATGATGCAAAATTTCAGGCCAGAACTCACAGGATTATATATGGAATTCTAAATTATGGATCCTTTAAGCCCCTCTTCAGGCATTTATAAGTGGACACTTAAGCCAAATTTAGGTTAGTTGGCACTAGATTATTGTGTCCTTAAGCGTAGCACAAGATGAAAGACCATTGAAATTTCTACTGAAATTTGTTAAAAACAAACTCTCAAAAACACGTAACCTAAGTTACTTGAAATGTTCTGGAAAAATGGCTATATTTATGCCAAGATATTAAACATAAGAGGATAACAATATTATTGGCATAGTGCTTCTGTCTAGAGGTAATGTTTTTGACAAAAGTGAATGCTAATGTAGAAGAAGCACTTTCTGAGACTGACATCTTCTGCTCCTGTTTATATTGTTATCTGATAGTGACTAGACATGAGATTTGGGTTGGTAATTTTATACATTGAACATTTTATAAATTGTAACTACACATAATTATAATGCTGTCACTAATTCACGCACTCTGTTTCTCTATTTCTAACTACAGCACTAACTAAGTCTTCTGAATTTGTCTTCACTAGTCATTGCTGGGTAATGGCTCCCAGCAGTGTAGATTCCTCAGCTTCCACATACTGTGGCTTCTGTCCTCCCTGGCTGGTTACTGACTTGCAACTCATTGCTCCGCTGTTGGCTTCCTAGCCATGACTGTCCACTCACTGGCTATCCTTCTCTGTCACTCTACTACTTAGTATCACTGGCTATCCCTGGCTCTCACTGGCGGTCTGGTGTGGTTATATAGCCTCGGCACAGACCTTTGCCAACAGTGTCTTTGTTGTGGCAGCCGTCGCCAAGCAATGGACCACATAATTGTGTCATAGTTTATACTTGCTAACAGAAGAGAAAGTCTTAACCTTTTGTTTATTCTTTAGATTGTTACCATTTACAAACAGTGTCAGACATTTTCAGTGAAACAGGATGAAACAGAAAATTTGATGCATAATTGTGCATATGTTACTACAAAAGGCTGCTGGTGAATTAACTGCTAGGACCCCAAATATCAAAGACATTATTGTATGCTTACTGACCATATGATCTTTTTAAGTGTTTGATTACTTCATTTGTGCTGTGGACATCAACTTCCATATTGTCTTACTGCATGCCTTCAAAATTTTGTCTGTGACACCAACCATGTATGAAACATTTCCCATTCTTACCCTTTTAGTTTTGTTTTCAACCAGCTTATTAACCATGTGACAAAGCTTCCTGATGTACAGTCAGGTTCAGCAACATTGTATGTAAGCAGTACTTTGTTTAAACATTTGGGAAGTTACGGTGCTTCATTGTTTCTGAATTTTTTTATCTGTTCTGTAATGTCGGAGAAAACAAACAAAGAGCAGAATTTCTCCAGAAGCACATTGAACATTCATTAATTTACTGCCCTAGATGCTCTGTAATTTCTCAACTTATTTTTTTTTTTGACCAAATAAGAATTCCCTTTCTTTGACTTCTGCAGGTATTATGACATGCAGTCAGGTATAGTGTTACATGAAACTGGGCAGCATATTCGTTTATTACTGCAGGAAGCAAGAGAGATTGAACAGAATATTCAAGCTACACAAGAAGAAGCTGACACAGATGAAGTAGATGAAAACAGTGCTCTGACAATGATGGAGCTGCAGATCCGACGAGAGGAAATCAAAAGAGAAATTGAGATTTTAGAAAATCCATTAATGAGGTTGGTGACTACTGTGTTTCTTCCCTTCTGTGATTATGAGCATGTTAGAAATTATATTTTTTTAACTAAGGTAAACAGCTTACAAATATCTTTCAACAAGGTGTAGAATGTAATGCAACCAAAATTATTTTGAGATACATTCTCATATATTTAAGAGTCATGTAAACTATCAGCCACTGACATGATTGAATGTTCATGCATTCAGGTGACATAACTACTGCACATCTGTGAAATATGCAATGACATTCTCTTATTTTGTAATTGATGTGCTGTACCCTCACAGACATTTTGTGATTATTTTGCAAACTTCAGATAATTTGTGTGTAGATTATGAGGAAACAGACTGTCATTAATTTGGTTTTTCACTGATATACTTGGTGACAGAGTAGATAGAATTAGTGTTTAATAGTGTGACGTGGATGGTGCAACGGGAAGTGGGGGTCACGTGAACTCTGTGTTTCCTTGAGTGATGTCACATACCCCCACTCCTTCCACCAGTACACAACGCTTGGTAGGCGCCCCCTCCCCCACGGTGACATAGCAGAGGAGCGGTTGTGTTGTTACCAAGGGATACTGCGGTTACTGTGCAGCAGTAAACAACTCTCGACAGTGTTGCTAGGCAACCTGTAAACACGGCGTCACGCAACAGCTGTACCTATCACGTAACTGTTTTCTGTGTTGTCCGTGCCGAGGCTAAATAAGGAGCAGCGAACACTATTCAGTAGTGAGTGATTAGTGTGTGGGGATTGAGCCAGTTACGAGTGAGTGAGTTACTAGAGAGAGAGTAACCAGCCAGTTACAGTCTAGCACTCTTCGGAGTGAATGATATTGACTGCAGCAGAAGAAGTAATTGTGATACTGCAGATGGCAGTAATTGTGAGAGCAAGTGCAATAAATTCGCTATATCAAATAAGGCGTGAAGTTATTTGTCGTGTTATACACCCAACACATGACAATATGTTGAAGGAAAGAAAGCTATTTGGCAAAAATAGATAAGACAGTGTGACTTTAATAAACTATGAACCCTTGATTTTTTGCTGTAATAGAGGGGAGAAGTAGTAGTGCAGATAGTTAAAAACAACTGATAATCCAAAAATATTGAAATATCCACTGTCCATGCTGTATTTGGGCATGAACATCACTTAATTTTTATTTACTTGTCACTACAGTCTTCCAACAGAACAAGGTAACACTTATTTAGTGATATCATGTAGGCACAAAAAGAATGAAATAATAAATCAGATATGCATCATGTTGAGATATACAGTCTACTGCAGATTGTTGTAAACCATCATTGTAAATTAAGCTGTGTAAGGAAAAATGGTTAGTGGCGCAGGAACACAAAGATGAGGACTGGGGCTAACAGCACATCAGTTGGAACTAGGGGCCTTCAAAAAGTTCTGAAGATGGAAAATTAAGAAGAGAAAGAAAAGTGTCCTAGCCATATGTTACAGGATGAAGGAAAGGGAAATTTTCCTCAGTCTAGGCCAACGCAGTTGATATTATGTCTGGACAGCACTCTGGTAATGTGGCTGAAGGTCATACCAATTAGGGTGGAAGACCCTTGCCTTTCTTTCCCATATCATTGAATATTCTTCCATGCATGTCCATATATTTGTCACATTGCTGAATTGTGAGAACAAAGTCAGCTGTCTCAACTTCAGAAAATACTGATGAACAATTAAATGTTGTCCTCAATTTTAGCTCAAAAGAGACACTTGAAAGCATTTTTGGTGGATATCAATATTATCTATTTACAAAATATGATTTTTCTGTATCGTACTTCTCTGCTTGCTTTTCTTATCACTGATATAAAAGGGAACTCAAAAAGATATATGTACTACATTCTTTGTTCATTGCTTATGGTATCCATGGGTATTAACACACTCACTCCCACATCTGTCTGGTTCACATCATATAGTGTGTTGTAAATGAAAAACTTAACATAGCAAGTAAGAAGAGAAGGCGTGGCTGTTGCATCATGGAAGATTTTTTAATGAAGATTCTGAAGATGATTTGATTCCATAGTTCAATTCCAGTCAATGAAGTGACAGTGAAAGGCCTACATTTTCTAAAATTGCCAATTATTGTCTGTCTCTTCCACAATTTACAATGAACATCACTTTTTTACAGTAATCCAGGTGAGACAAAGTTCAAAGTTTTGCTGACTGCCAGTTCATGTTGTACATGTACATGTACTTCCAGTTTCAGTAGCTATTTTTTAAAGCAAAGTTTGCCCTTAAAGATAGCATATATGTAACATTCATGTACAGAAACAGGCATTTGTCTGTTTCGAGGTGGTTTGTCAACCAGATGAGGCCCAAAATGGTATCATATAGAAATCATGGTTATTTTTGTCCCAGAGAGCCCACTGTTCATTATCATCTTTGTCATCATAACCACCACCACATACATTTGCACTTACCTGACCATCATCAGAATTATTACAGTTGTCCCTCAGATCAGGCCTGCTTATTTTGGAATCAGGGTGAATACGGTCAAATATATCAATATCTGAATCCTGACTAAAAAACTGAAAGAATCCAAGTTCATGTATCTCTTTGCTGTTCAATGCATGTCCACTAGGAGACTCCATCAGGATATAACTACAGAGAAAAGTATACACAGGCCCTTTGAAAAATCAATTCTAAAATTCACAGAAGTATTATAACAAAAGGTTTGTTAACACCACTGCAAAGAAGAAGACTAAAGTGACACTGACATTGGTTGCCTCAGACTGACTCCAGATCACCTTTAACATTCAGAAGACATGTGGCGAACTGAGTCCAACATTGGACCGTAATGTGGAATTTAAAGTGGTGGACTCGGTTCAACATAGGGCTGCAAAGGGTTAAGATTGTGTCCCATACCCTGCTTCTGGAAAGTGAAAATGGCATAAGCAATAAGAAATCGGTGAAACTAGGTGGTAATGTCGTTGGTGTTCCCGTACATCCTGCTGAGTAGCACACTGTCTGAGCCTACTAGAATATCTCCAGGAGGTATTTACAACATTTTAAATTCCTGTGTGCCATAGTTTATGAATAAAGTGTTTTAATATTTTGCTGGCCAGTGAATTCTTTAAATCTATCATGATTTTTAAAAGAGGGTGGGCTGATCTTTTAAATTACCAGCTGGGGTGCTGGAAGGTAACCTGTTAGAGTGACATGTAAGTAAATTTTTTGGATGTGATTCAAATTGTCATTCCCAATTTTTCTAAATTGATTCCTAATTTGAGTGCTAATCTGAAGTTTAGTTGCTATATCATATGATATTGACAAGGAAAGCAACCATACCCAAAGAAAAGAATAGGTACTTCTAAGAATGAATGAATACTTTAAATATCTTGTTATATGTAAAATGCCAGATTTATATACTTAAATTTCTTTAGTATGTTATTACAGTGTTGTTTCATTTTAAAATCAGTAAACAATACAACTAAAGAATGCCCACTCTGGAACATAGGCCACATTTAGCAGTGTGTCTGCTGGGTGTCTGCTGGGAAGACATCTCATTTACACATGCAAAATTTTCTTGTAATTTCTGTATAAATTAGGATAACAGATAATTTGCAAAATGAAATGAACTCTCTGTTTCCAGGAATCTTGTAGTAAAGAAAAAATATGAAGTTGTACAAGCAAAGAAACAAAAAAGAGAGCACTCAAAGGAAGTATGTTTTGTGTGGCTTGGTGGTACAATAGATGAATTTATTAATACACTGACAAAAGCCAGAAGCTTTATTCAACCTGAAGCATACATCAAGTAAGTAGGAAGCCTGTTAAATGAAGTTCATCCATACATTTACTGTAGCTAATTTTTATGTTACCATACTGCACTTGCAGGTGTTGAGTGTATGGTATTTTCCTAATATTTGGTTTTCATGGAATTTGTTGTTTGAGAATTTTACAGAATATTGTTGAGCCATTTCAGTTCCCATTTAGATCATATAATTTTAACAACCACTTTACATGAAGACCTACATGCCTTCATTACATACATAATCAGGGGTATACTGTATATATTGTGTATCATTTTCTCTTTCAACTCTAGGAGGGCTAAAACTGTTTGAACATAACATATTTTCAAAAAGAGTATATTTTATGTTTTAATATATCCTGAGTCAGAGATTGGATAGCTCAGTCAGTAACATGCCCAGTTATACAGTGAATGACTGCGCCATAGCTCAAGCGGTTAGTCGCTGGCTTCCCACCGCAGTGGCCCGGGTTCAATCCCAGGTCTGGTCAAGTGGGATTTGTGGTGGACAAAGTGGCACTATGGCATGTTTTCTCTGAGTACTTCGGTTTCCCCTGCCAATCTTCATTCCACCAGTTGCTCCACAATCACCCTCACCTATCATCTGGGGCTGGTACAATAGGCCAGAAGTGGCCGCAGTACAAGGGACTTAGTCCCACCCCACTGGCAATAAAAAAATGTACAGTGAATGACAAGGATTTTCCCTTTGTCATCATCCACAGAATGGGGCCTGCCTCCTCCCATCTCCTATCCAGTGGGTATCGAAACTGATTACTCTTCTGTCGAGTTCCAAGGTTTAGAGTGTATGGCTGTCTATGTAGTATGTTTAAACACAAGAGAAATTTGATTGTGTACTATATCAGAACTCATCAAGTTTATATTCAGAAATACATTAAAATATTAAAAGACTGCATTCAGCTAGGAACTCTGTCACACCCAAAGAAGCATGTTCTTTGTTAAGATCTAACAGTGCCCTCTTCTCTACTGTTTTACAAATCAACATGCAATTCTTTTAGGACATGTCCACTCCTGCAGGAAGCTTTGGATCAAGCTATTGCTGGGGACACTGTGATACTGTGTCCAGGGCTTCATGATGTTAGCAGTACTGGTGGCCTTGAGGAAGGAGGCAACATTATGGGTAATGCAAATGTAATTGTAATTTGGGACATCTTGGTCAATCGAGTGACTAGCTGCCATCTGGCTGACTGTGGTTTGAGTCCCAGGAGCGGTGACATTTTTCTCTTTGTGACTATGTAAGAACTAAGTGTCCCATCCTTTTGACACCCAAGGCTAAGTAGTTGCAATGTGAAGCTGACCTTGCTGCTTTGCCAGATATGTCTAAATGGCATGCTGCTTAAGCACAGGGACACTCCTTTATTCATATAATTAATTTATACAGGAAATTAAAAACTATTTATGAATGCTTGTCATTTATGCGAATTTGTGTATATGCATCTCAAAAGTCATTAGTCTTCTATTAATATGTCTTTGATGTAATGGAGGAGATGCCTATATCACTAAATATTACTTTTCAGGAAAAGAAGAAACATGTTTGGCTATGTGCTGAAATAATTATTTCATTGTCATTGAATGGGAAGTATTGTGATTTAGTGATGTTACTCAGTTTTTGCTTAAGAATTTTGTTGTGCACTTTTATGCATTTTCACCAGTTTTTTTTTTTTTTACTTAACTCACTTTTCTCTAACACCACAAACTTAAAAACAAGAGTTGACTGAAACATATGCCTGTAAATCCATGTTTTTATTTGTAAAATATTACCCATAGTCCTCCAATCCTTCCAATGAAGTAAGGTACAGGAGGTGAGCATTTTAGCTCCAAGGAGCAGTTAAAGACAAGCCTGATTATACTTTTATGTGTGTATATTTGCGAGTACTTTGCAAGAAGAAGAGAGGAAGTTATAGGAACAATTCATAACCACTTCCTTTAAATTCCTCCTAGTATAAAACCTAACCAGAGTTATAAATTCATTACACAGGATAGCTGAGAAAGAACTCGGGTTTGGTAACAGTATTTATTGACACAAGAACAGAATAGTGCAGATGGAAAAACTGATTGCACAATGCTTGAAGCTCAAAATGTGAATCAGTCCATCGCAATGCTGCACATGTTTTTATATGCCTGGAAGAAAGTTAGAATGGCAATATGTACCATTCAGTATTGACATGTTACTGCAAGCACTCAGATCACCGTTCAACATTGTGGTCAACAATGTAGATGTCGAATAGACTTGAAAGGATTCTGACTATGGTGTATGCTGTACAGAACTCAGTGATTGAGACTAACTCTTTCTAATGGGCCCAACTGAGTAGGTTTATCCTGCCCCCTCCACCTGAGGACGGAGACATCCAGTTTCCGAAAGTGGTTTTTTGTCTTCCATACACCAGACAATGGATAGAGTCAAAAATAAGCCTAATAGTTATGTACAATGTAGATGTCACTGTTACCACTATGTTCCTGTGCTGCAAATTGTCAAATTCATTTGGCATACACAGTGTCCTTTAAGTAACCCCATACGAAAAAGTGTAGCAGTGTTCAGTCCGGACTGTGGGGATTTACCCACCTCTTCCTGTTTGCTGACCTGGAGAACATTACACATTATGTGCAACAGTATCACAGTATCGCTTCACATGTACACATTGTGATGCATTACCTAGTACAATAAAGCTTGACATGTTTTCTCATTCATTGTATCTGTGGTGTTCTGTTTTGTATGGTTCATCAAAATGTGTCAATTCCTGGAATGTCTATAAATTAGTAGTATATATTATAAAATTTCACTTGGAATAGACATCTTAAATTTGTTAATTATAACTACAAAAATTTATATTATTGCCATGTTAATATTTTTTAGCATGCAAAATTTTGTATAATATTTGAATGTGTGTCAATCTCTTTCACCATAGGAAATTTCAGATGCTTATCTCAGTGTTTTCATCTGTCATCATAATGTGAAAAAACCGATCTGCATTTTGTAAGATTCCCCCCCCCCCCAACTAACTAACTAACCCATGGAGCTGAGCCCTTTTTTGAGATACTGTCAGTTGTGAAGCTACTCAAAAATTCCACAGTGTTTTTATTGAACCCAAAGGTTCATTACCATATTCACAAGAGCCCTCCACTGGGGTACTATCCTTGGCCAGATCAATCCAGTCCATACCACCCAATCCTATTTCTCTAAGATCCATCTTAATATTGTCTAACCCATCTATGTCAAGATCTTCCTACTCATCTCTTTCCTTCTGACTTTGCTACCAATATCCTATGTTCATTCCTCTTATCCCCAATCATGCTAAATGCCTTGCCCACTGCATCCTCCTGGACTTGATCATTCTGATTATACTTGGTGAAGAGTACAAGTTATGAAGTTCCTTATTATGCAGTTTTCTCCAACTTCCTTTCACTTCATTCCTCTTCAATCCAGATATTCTCCTCAGCACCCTGTTCTCAAACACCTGTGTTCCTCCCTTAATGTGTGAGACAAGTTTCACGCCCATACAGATCCATGGGCAAAATTGTAGTTTTGTATATTCAGATTTTTACATTTTTAGAGAGCAGATGAGAAGACAAAAGGTTCTGGACTGAATGGTAGCAGGCATTATGTGAATTCACTCTCCTCTTAAGTTTCTCCTGAATCAGGTTCTGATTTGTTATAATCGTTCCAAAATATCTGAACTGTGCCACGTTTTCTAAACATTCATTAGCTGTCTTTATGTCATGATTTTGCCCTGCATTATGGTTATGAGACAGCAACATATACTTTTCTCTGTGTTTACTTCTAGACCAACCTCCTTACTAGCATCAATTAATGCTTTATGTATTTCTTTATGGTATCTATGTTATCTCCCACTAGATTTACATTATCAGCACAGACCAGCAGCTGATGTGTCCCATTAAATTTCAGTCCCGCCTGGTTTTCCTGGATCTTCCTGATGGCATATTCTAAAGCAATGATGATAAAGCATCTCCTTGTTTTAGACCATTTTGGATAGGAAATATCAGAAAAATGTTATGTGTAAGGATTTTACTTTAAGGTTTTTAATCAATCTAACTAGTTTCATGCATTCTCGAAGNGGCATATTCTAAAGCAATGATGATAAAGCATCTCCTTGTTTTAGACAATTTTGGATAGGAAATATCAGAAAAATGTTATGTCTAAGGATTTTACTTTAAGGTTTCATTTAAACACGTTTTAATCAGCCTAACTAGTTTCATGCATTCTTGAAACTGTTATGAGAATATTGTACAATGCTTCCCTCCTAAATGATTCATAGGCTTTCTTGAAGTGTATGAATGGCTGATATACTGTTCCATTGTACTTTCATTTTTTCTGAAATATCTGATGAATGCAAAACACCCGATCAGTAGTTGATCTGTTAGTTTGAAACCCATACTTATGGTTCTTAATGATTTTCTTTACATATGGACTTGAGCTTAAGAGAAGGATATTAGATCAAATTTTGTATGAAGTTGATAGCAGTGATATCCCACAATAATTACTACCGTCAGTTTTATCGTCCTTCACGTAATTGATAAAATTTTGAAAAGCAACTGTATCACATTTAAGTAAACTATGCATTGAAATCCTGACGTTGGGGATTAACTGGATGCCAAACTTCATAAATTTGTATGACAAAAAATACTTGTATGAAAGTGGTGTCCTTATGAAGACATCATAAGAAGAAAACTGAGAACATTCAAAATGAAATTCAAAACCTTCGGTGGACTAGTTTCTCAGGGAGGCCCCTTCCCTATGTCATTGTGAATTTCTGCATTACAAAGTGAGTGTAGTAAACACATGTTTTTTTACCTTTTGCTCTTAGGATTCCTTGAACCATCTGTCACAACAATTGTGGCACATAATGCAGGAAACGTACTGCTTGATTGGTCGTCAGATGTGACGCTGGAAAACCTAACAATTAATGCCCATTCAGTGCAGATTGCACTGTCTGTCCGAAATGGAGTAGTGCGATTGAGGAATTGTCAGGTCCGGGGCAGCAGTACAAATGGTACTGGAATTCTTGTGTTGAAAGGTGGCCGCTTAGAGGCACAAAGTTGTGAATTTGTTCATTTTGGGATAGGTCTTGTGCTTGATCATGCTGCACAGGTGTCCTTGGAAGACTGTACTATCACATCTTGCAACACAGGAATAAAGGTGAGTATGTCATAAGATGAAGTAGCAATTGGTTTAATTCCTGCTACATTGATTATTAGGTTATTTAATTGCACTCTGCAGCATACGTAGGTAATGTAGATTTAATGGTTGAATTAAATTGAAAAGATCAGCAAGACAGTTGAATAGGTAGGGATTTGGAAGCAGACAGTAATGGCTTATTTGAAGATACTGTTCTGACTTTGCCTGGAGAGTAGGAAAACTATGGAAACTTCAGGAAACCTCCAACCCAGTCACAATATGAACTGAATAGGATCTGGAATTTTTATATTCTGTTTCCTACAAAAAATTATGCAATTCATATTGAATTTATGTGTTATAATATTTTGCTCATTGTGAACGAAAACAGTTTATTAATTAGAAGATACAGGCCAATTTTGATGCATTTGTGTACAAGGAATATTTGAGAATTTTGTTTCTCTTAATTAACACATTCTCTGCTGTATTAGAGAATGCTTGTTATCATTGTCAGCAGCATAATGTGACAATTCTGCATATTTGATTTTTAATTTTGTTGTGAGATAGCTATAAAATGCAATGAAATTCTCAAAAATTGTAGTTTGTTTTAAAGAAGCTGAAATTGTATTTTTCTTAAAAAATAACATACATCATGAAGAGTTCTGTCTTCTAGAATATAATACTGTGTAGTCCATTGAAAGTCAACAAACATTTTGGAGGAACTTGTTGCTTCCATCTTCAGGGCCAAAGAATAAGCCAAGCAAGAAACCAGCATCTCTGCTTGCTACCTGCTTCAGGCTAGTTTCTTGCTTGGCATATTATTTGGCCCTGACAATGGAAGTGACACATTCCATTGAAATGTTTGTTGACTTTCAGTGGACCACACAGCATTGTATCCCAGTAGATAAAACTGTTCATAAACTCTACTGTGAGAACCTCAAATCATTCAGAACATACATCAGGTCCTTCAATGAATAACTGTCATTTTGGTGCAAGAAGGTGAGGTTTTATGCAGAATATTATGGGTAAAAGAATATGGCTTAAAAATTGTGTCATGCTAGTTTACTCATGTTAGATTTAAAGAAAAGTAATTTGAATTGGAGCTAAGACTGTTCTAGATGTGCAAAAATTGATTCTCTTCACTTCAGTAAGAAGGTTCTGAATTCCTGGAGATGCTGCTTGTATGATTATCTGTAAACACATATGTATTGAGTGCTTTAATCATCTGTATATTATTCATTCATGAGTAATCTGTCAGACGACAGGTCCACAGTCTCTTCCAAAACAGTTCCTCCACTTAATGCGATCACAAACTTTCTCCTTCAAATAAAAATTTCCTCGTCTTCTGGTCACTTCTATCCACCCCTCCAGTTTCTTTTGTCTCCAGAGGAAACATCTCACATGCATGGTATCTCTGTTTTTGGAAAGAGACTATCCAGGAAAAGTGATAATGTGGTAGTTTTTCCATTTGCTTTCCACATCGCAGTACAACAGCCGTTCAAACCACTCTGGTCACGCCTGTTGCTATACGAACTTGAACCATCTCGAGCATCATTTGCTCTGTGCTTCAAGTCGCTGCTGATGATGCTGCTTCCGGCATCAGTTTTTGGTTTTTGGTGTCTCTCTTCGTCTGATGCCTACCCTTTGACCTGTCCAGCAAGGGAGGCCCTGCCAGTAGCTACGCTACCGCTGGTATAGCTCTCAGGGTCCTTGGCATACTCAAACCCCCTCACCACGATAAAGTGGAGACACCAACGAGGGGGTGTGTGTATCCCAATACATTTCATGGTAACCATAGAAGCATGTTAAACAGCAATGAAAGGAGTATCACTTGTAAGGACTGACTTACACACTAGGATAATTGTAATTTAATGTGCTGTAGATGTGTGAGGATGCAAGTGTTATGCTGAAGAGGTGTAGTGTGTCGGGTTGCTCAGAGTATGGTATCAGAATCGAGATTTCACAGCAGCCTAACAATGAAATGGACAATCGACAAGTGGGATCGGTCATTATGTTAGAAAGGTAAGATTTTATTGATAAAACACTTCTTTATCAAATTAATATAACCAAGTAAAAAAGCTAATGTATATGAAATACTGTAATTATATGTCTGTAAAAGTATTAGTGATGATGGAGTGTGAACCTAAAGCATCATTTACCATTATTTTGCTTAATACATTTCACATTTAGTTAGTAAATGATGTAGCAAATTGAGTGAAGTAGTGTTTACATTTGTGAAGTTTTGAAAAATTCATTTTACTGAAATTAGTAAATTTTGGCAGTTAGGCCTGTTGCTAAGCGGTGACTCTGTAAACAGCAACCGTTGCTAGGTAACACACACAACAATAGGAGATCTGTGTTTTCTATGTGGACTCTGCTGAGATATTATAACTGGGAGGTTTGGGGCCTAGTCAATTGATAGTTCTGTACAGGAATCTGTGAAGCGAGGACTTGAGCTGGAAGCAGACGAATAGCCATTGTTGGTGCTGTTGCCAAGAAATGTCTAATAACAGATTGAGAACACTAGATTCTGTAAAGTATATGAAAATATTAAAGTTATCGTTATTTGTAGTTAACGCTCTGTAAGTGGTCAATAAATCTTCATCAATCCAAACCCCATCTATAGTCACACATGATACATGATAATACACTATACCTTTTTCTAGATGTGCAGCAATGTTTACTTCTTTGAATATTTAGCTACCATCTTTTGGTGGATGCTTGTATATAACCAGGATTGATATATACTGACCTACTTGGTCTCAATACAGAAATCAATTTTAAGGAACCCTGATTTGATGTATTTCATAAAATTTTATGATGGGGTAGTCCAGTTTCTGATTTAGGTTTCATATGTGGGAGACCAGATGGGATACATCTTTGACATTGTGATATTCCCATTAACATCTGGAAATTAAACTCTTTGGGTATTAAATGTTCATTTGGAAGCTAAATGTAGAAGGAATACTGGAGAAGAATTGACGGTAGTTTTTGAACTGATCTAGACTGTTATCCACACGTAAGAGATGCAAGCAAGTGTGCAGATGCTCTAGTAGTGTGCCCCACAGTTGGTTTATTTTGAAGAGTAGGTTATCTTGTGACTACAGGAAAGCAAGTTCGTTGTTTCATTATGTTCTTGTTCCTCGTGTTGTCACAAGTGTTCACTTATAAACATACAGCAGTGTTTTCTGTTTCTAAAGCAGTAATGAAAGGAAGCTCCATTTACAAAAAAGTTAGGATTTAAAAAAATACATCGATGCTGTACAGTCTCAATATTGACGTTTTTAAATAACTAACTTAAAAATTGAAAATGACAATTCTGGGGTTCTTGCCCACTTGAGCTGGCTACTGGTAATATAAGTAGTACTGAACCTTCAACTACCTATCTAGTGAACTGCGGTACACATCTCACACTATTGTGCCCTTCACCAGAATGTACACACAAATCACAGACAGACCTATGGCCAACTACACAAGATATTCTTTGTAGAAAAATTGGGCTGATTTTATGATCATATACTTATACAACAAGACTTTCAATTAATTTTAATTGATACTGATTATTTTTAACAAATGTAGCTAATTTTAATTATGTTAATAGTTTAGTCTAGTCTTGATTTCTGATGGTAGAAATCCCGACAACCTATGCTTGTCATACATGTACAGTATTTCTTTAGTGTTAGCTATGCCTTCTGCTGATGGCCAGTAATGACCAAAACATATAAAAGGAATCTTTTATATGAAAATGATTGCACTGAAGGGACTTTACTATTCGTTCCAAGTATTTCTTCTCTACTCATCACCTTTCCCTTGTCCTTTTTCCTTGTAACTGACAGTACAGACACGGGCACCATGGCAGAGGTTGTATGGCACTCGGCTGCCAGTTTAGGGCTGTTAAAGTATAGCAAAGCCTGGAGAAAACTTTACTTTGCATGTCATGTGTGTTATATAATTGCACTGATGTCTTACAAAGTAGATATTTGGAAATATTCTATCAGATTTCACATATGTAGCAAATTTAGACGTAAAAGAGATTGTGAATGAAAGTCATGATTCTTGTAACATTCCCAGGATTATTAATCTAGTGACTGTTCTTGGGAATTACAGTTTTACGAATATCAGACTAGATGCAACTACAGTTGAAGGAAACAGGAAAGGGGACGTGTTGAAAATACAGCATCAAGACAGCATCCTATATGAGTCTGGTGGTTCTGAATGCATTTCTCCTGAGGTTAAGGTTGAAGCTGAGGCTAACATTGCCATATGACTCAGTGTCACGGTCTGCATATAGAATGACTGATACAAAATATAAATGTATATGCTGTTTCAGTATGTTGTGATTTGTATAAATTAATTCTTGTTCAAAACAGCACACATTTTTAACACTACCAAGATATTATATGTGTGTTTGTATAATTCAAAGTTTTTTATTGGTATGCATACTGAAATCCTTATTGTTTTATGTGTCCATTTGAAATTAAAAGTACATCCAACATAATGTTGTAGTCTCAGGTGACAGTTTACTGATTTCCCAGATCAATTTTTAGTGCCCATAATATATTCCGTTAAGTAAACATGTTGCTGATGCTGCATGGTTCTTCCACCTGTGGCTGGAAACTTTTATGCCTTTGTGTGGTACATAGGTGAGTGCATTAACTTGGGTAAGGAAGGAAATTATGCTCAGATCTGTTACTGTGACATTATGATCCCCATCTGCAGAGCGTTCTGAGCTATTAAAGATATTTTGGTAAACTGGGAATCGAAACCAAGAATGCTATATTAACCTTGTAATTGGTACTGCCTTAGTTCATCACGCAAGGGTTAAATTTCAGATTAACAGCTGAATTCAGTAAATTATGGAGGATAACTATCTTAAGTATAACTGGAGCTACTACAACAGCTGCAGTTGAAGTGCTGCTGAGTCTCCCTCTTCTGTATGTTAGAACTGAAGTGGAGCTCTTTATTGAAATGTGCAGTTTCAACTGCAATGAACTAAACAAACCTAGAATTCTGGGGAATAGGCAGAATAAAGAACTCTTTATGGCAGTGGGAAAGTAATAATCATGCTGTATCCATTTCACACACCATTTACTGTGATCATGCCAGATCATGATGAATGTTGACTTTTAACCTGACAGGAGAGAGGGAGTTGTCTGGTATATGGATAGGTTCAAACCAAATATAGATATTGGAGCAGAGAGCAGAGCTGTGAGAAGGAAGACATTACTGGCTTGTGTCAGCCTTGGGTGGTGTACCACAGTATCCCAGGAAGAAGTATATGAATAGAAACTACAGGGTGATTCATTGTGAGGAGGCCTGGAATTAATAAATATAAACCATGCACTGATTTACTGTTGAAGACAGAAACTGGTGAATACATATTTAGTAAACATGTGGATAACTGGATTGCAGAAGGCACATGCCAACATGACCCTTTTTTCATGAATGTTGCAGCCAGCATGGCAAGAGGGATTACAGTAGTTTCAGTGACAATGTCTTTGTAGGTTGTCAGCAGTGTGGGGTTTGTGGGTAAACACTGTACCCTTCAGCAGACCCCATAGAAAGAAATCTGGAGGAGTCATGTCTGAAGTCAAGGGTAACCAGAGTCCTTTCATTCCCCAGAGAAACTATATTTCTTCTAAGTCCCAGTTAGATGACCGCCTCTGTGGTGTAGTGGTCAGGAGTTCCTGGCTACAGATCCAGAGGTCTCCAGGTTCGATTCACGACACTACCAGATTTTCTGAGAAGTAGTGAGTCTGGAACAGGGTCCACCCAGCCTCTTGAACATAATTGAGGAGCTATTTTAAGGAAATAGTGGCTCCGGTCTAGAAAACCGAGATTAACAGCTGTGGGGATCCATTGCGCTGACTACGCGACACCCTCAATCCACTAAAGTTGGCACTAACTTCACTGACAAGCGGAGGTCCCTCGGTTGGTATAGGTCGCTTGCGGACTACAGGTCACAGTTTTTTTTTCTTCTTCTTTTTTGTTTGTCCGAGGTAAACATATGACACATTGCCCCATCTTGTCAAAATGAACTCAGTGTTTGCTGTCAGTCATCCATCTGATTAACAGATTCATGGAAAGTGTTGAGGTAGACATTGGTGTTGGTGGTTGTTCCATTGCAGGTGAACCTCTTCTGTGCTAAGTCTGCAGGTGTTCCTTATCTCCACTTTTTATACCATCTTCTGGATAAGACAGTTTGTTTCTGATATATGTATATGGTTTCTGAAAACTGCCTGAAATTCTTTGAATGATCACATGACTGAGTACAAATTTGCAGGAACACACTGTTCACATTCTGCTGCACAACACATGGAATTACAAACTGAAGGAAATGACACAAAGTGGGGAGGCAGACACCAGGTCAGTTGCTAAGTTTCATCTGTAAATTGTAGTATGAATTCTATTTACTAAATTGGGGCCACCTCCAAGTAAATCATGCGTACATGAATAGATGTGATTGTATTCTGACAGCCAAGCTGCAATAAAGCTATATTGACAGAATATAAAGATACAACTGATAAGAGTGCTGGGGCACAGGGGTAGCAGACAATGAACTTGCCAACTTACTGGTAAAACATGGGGTCTAAAATTCATAGGACCATCATGTTTCTATGTCGTCTCTGATGGATCTGTCATGTGAGTTGTAAGAGTCAGGTGTAGAAGCACCTGGAATACTGGAAGTCTCAACTGGGCAGCAGCATGGAAACCTTATTTCAGAACTCTTAATAAATGAAATTTGGGACATGTGACTAAATAGGAACCAATTAAAATCTGTGACAGGGATTTTAACAGTTCTTTTTTATTATTGCTAGTGAGGAGGGACTAAGTCCCTTGTACTGCGGCCACTTCTAGCCTATTATACCAGCCCCAGATGATAGGTGAGGGTGATTGTGGAGGAATTGGTGGAATGAAGATTGGCAGGGGAAACCGTAGTACTCGGAGAAAACCTGCCCCAGCGCCACTTTGTCCACCACAAATCCCACTTGACCAGACCCAGGATCCAACTCGGGCCACCACGGTGGGAAGCCAGCGACTAACCGCTTGAGCTATGGCGCTTTTAACAGGTCACTTTCATATAAAAGGATACAATGAAAATTTGGATTACTTAATAATCCCACTTGCAGCTGTCAGAAATGATGAAAATGTTCTGCAGATGTTATTATTGTCAAGCCCCTTGCAAGACTTGGTCTTGTCACTTCTGAGCTTGCCTGGTGAACCTAGTGACTGTCATGTGGTTTCAATTAGGAGGGGGGGGGAACTATTTCGGTTTATTCAAGGAACAGGCTTACTAATGGGCTAATTGTTGATGCACGGTGTATCATGACTGGTCCCAATGTTAAGGTGGTTTCATACTGACCCCTCTATGTTTTTCTCTGGTCATCCTCATGTTGTGGATGGAGAGGATGGCTGAGAATACATAGAATAACCTGTTGCAGATTGCTGACATCTTAGGGATTTGCATGAAGCTAACAGCTCACAAAAATAAGCTTCTATATTATGAACATAACTGGGATAGTGCATTCCGTATATTGAGTGGCTACTAGCCGGATGAACAAGGAGTAAGTGTATGAGTCTGGGTAGGGTCAAGAATCTTCACTCCTCTATGTCATCCATCCGACCTCCTATTCAATGTGAAGTGACTGGGGCATGAAGCTGACCACTCACCTTCAACTAGTGCTGAGGTCAAGAAAATACGGGTTAAGTACAGGGACGACTTTGCTATATTATGAACTGTCCCACAGGGTCTTGGATTTTAACAGTTTTTATTACACGATGTAAGGTAGAATAAGGCAGAATTTAAATTGAGGGATTTGCAAAAGTGTGATATGGAAAGTGTTTGAACCTATGAGAGAGGAAATAATGAAGGACTGGAAAGAATTACACCATTAGGATCTTCATAATCTCTACTCTTCACATAGAATTGTTAAAACGAGAAGAATGAGATGGGCAAGATTATGTAGCATACATGGATAAAATTATAAATGCATACTTATTTTCGTTTTAAAGTCTCAGAGAAAGATATGATTTGGGAACCTTGGATGCAGATTGGAAGTTATTCTTAAAATGTGGTTTATGGAAACTGGATGCAAGAGGGCTGGCTGAGTGGCTGGCTTTGGTGAACAGTGATGAAATTTCGGGTCCAGTAAAAGCTGCAACTTCATCAAGCAACCAATACTGTCAAGTTTTCAAACAAGACTCAGTGCTATGAAAGCTGACATTTTGTAGACAATATTTTAAGTACTAGGAAGGCTGGGAAAAATGGCAGTTATTTCCCAGCCAGTGGTAAGGAACTCTGGGTTTTTGTAACAAAATATATGACACTGGAAGAATACTGTCTTACAGGGTATGACGCCACGCAGTCTGGTAGAATTCTGTCCACGTGTTTTAGAAACGTGTGGCTCCATCTGCTGGGTAAAACATTTTCATACTGAGTGGTAAAATTGTCCTCCTTAGGCATTAAGCCTAAGACAAGACGTTTCAACAACTGCAACAGACAAAGCAGTGGAATGGGTCGAGGGTGATATAACAGAATGAGGGGTAGTCGAAATGATGCTAGTGTTGGTGGCGGTGGAAAATTCCCCCGTACAAATAATGTAGCATCCAGCTGATGACGTCACTCACACTCGGTTGTAGCAATGATCGCTTAGTCAGGAATAAATAATAAGATTTTCGCAGAATTGAATGGTTTCTGCACAAGGCTGTCCGGTCTGTCGTATTTATAGACACAGTATCGAGCCCAAATCAATCGACTGTAGCGTGTAGCAGCTTTGCTAACGGAGTCTGTACTTTTGGTGTAAGATTGCTCCAACCAATATCATGCAGGAGAATCCTTGTGAATCTAAGAGTCGCTCAACTGTTACCGCTAGATTAACCTCCTCGGTTTTATCTATTGCTGTAATGCTCTTCACCCATACAGGCTTGCCGTATTTGGAATATCCTTATAAAGAATGATGTCATGCCCGTAGAACAAGAAGAAATATTTTTATTCGTCAATTTTGTTTTCCCGTGTACATATCACGGTAATTACGTGTATCTTGACGTAGAGTGGAAGTCGGAATAAATAGATTGAAAGCCGCCATATTAGATATGAGCTTCTCAGCTACTAACTCCACGGAATTGGGACCTTGAGAACCTGAAATAAGTTGTTCAATCGGTCAGGAAAAAAATCCGCAAGTTTTACGGAATCCGAAGATTCATTATGACATTCACAAGAGTCCTCCTCTGGTCTTAATCTCGAGCTACATGAATCCAGTCCACGCCCTCATTCTTAACGATAAAATCCTTCCACACACGTCAATGTCCCCTAAGTGTTCTTCCTTTAAGGATTTTCTACTAAAATTTTGTTTTAATTTCTTCTCTCTCCCATGTGTATTGCATAAGCAAATATTAACAAAGATAATTTTGAGCTTCATTACGAGATTGTATGTGACTCTTATTTATTCCCTGAAGCTTACTTCTCTACGATACATATAAAAGCCACT